GAATAATCTCGCATCTCGACCGTATAACTACGTGAGGGACGACCTCGCATTTACGGTACTAGCCCACTCACGGCCTCGGACACGCGAAGATGTACTAATGGTCGTTCAATTCGTGCGAGGGGCTTTTTCAACGTGCGGGGACGTGCGGGCGAAAAGTGAACCGCCGAGGCCGCGTGTCGGTACACAAAGAAATGTGCGCCAGTTACATCATCGCCGCGATCGGCACCGCCGGGCGTACAGTATCGCGCTACACTCGCGCGGGAAACCGCACCATAACTGCAGCTGCATCTTTCACCGGGCAGTGTTCTGACTGCGAGGCGAAAATCACATACGCGAGCGCGATGTGCATCGGAACGCAGAATCGTCCGTTTCTCGTTTTAACGTTCGTCGCCGATCCGTCGTCCTCTTCCGTGCGTTTTAACGCGGACGCAACAAGCGTCCGCTCGACCGTCCGCGCATTTAATTAGATTTCATGCACACGCGCTATATTTTTCTGTTTAAATGTGCGCAATATATCGCCCCGACCCGCCTTCGGCGAGAATTTACATTCACGCGAGTGCAAGAAGATAATAAGTGCTGTTTAAGAAAACAAAAAGAGCCGTCTCTATCGAGGAAAAGGAACAATACCGTGACGCTGACGTAACGTGTTAGCTTGTCTCTCAGACAGACAACAGATCAGACTGCTGCTTGCTCGTTGCGCAACGCGCGCCGCTGGTTTTTGTTAACAAAAAAGAAAGAGGATATGTGAATCGCGCGTCGCTACCGAGCGTAAACGACGGATATCCTAACTGCGCGCGCGAGGCGTTCTCTGGGGAATTAATATAGATAGATTTTAATTACATGTGCGTTTCGCGCGCGCGATTCCGAGAAAATGACCAGGATTGAAACGACGACGGCGGGTAGACGTTGCTGCAAGAGTAGAATACCGCCAACCGGATATTGGCTTCGTAGAGGCTGAAGGAGGCGCGTAGTTGTGTCGCGCACACAACGACAACGGAACGCGCGTATTCCGTTCGCGAAAACACACCAGCTATACCGTGCTCGACGCGCGTATTACGACACAGGAAAAAGACAAGCCCCTTATGATACACTCCGAAACGTTTACGAGTTCACGAGGCTTGCTTCAAAGTAGCACGCTGGCACTTCGTGCCAATTAATTCATATTGAAGATTGATACAATGATTTAATGGAGAGCAACATTGCAGACGTTGAAAAACGCTTTATCGGCGATACAACAATTTATTGGCGTTACGATATATAAATCGTTATACGTTAACAATGAGATATTCTTTTAACACTACGCAGCTATATCTTCTTTGACGCCTATCTGCGTCATCGGTTAATTCGATAATTTCCCGATTTATCATGCAAAACGTATGTACATGATACAACGTGATACAATGTAAGAAATGTTGGCGTAAAAAGAAGGCAATTGTTTTCTTGTCACTGTGTCTGTTTAATCGCTATTGAGATCGGTAAATTGAGATGAATCACGCCGTGTTCTGAACTTCGTCCGGTTGATGCGAACTAGACCTCGCCGATCACGCTCCAAGTTTGAGAGACTCAAGGTTCGCGCTGCTGCTAACTGCGCGACATTTAAATAATCTTTATTCAAGGGCGCGTCGTGCGGTCAATATTGGTCGCAGGAAAAAAAAGTTCAGTTTGAGTCAGCGTCAATAAGTCGGCAAGAGGCTCACGAGGGATCATTGTTTGCGTATGCACCGGTCGCTCGCAGGCAACACGCGCAACTGCACGCACGTGCACGCGTGTATGCGTCAATGTATGCACGTACGTTTATCTACTCGCGTGTATAGATGTTCGTGTGCAAGAATATCGGGTAGAAGGAGGTTATCTGGTAACGCCGGAGACAGGCGGCCGGCCAATAGTTGTATACGAGCGCGATCCACGACTGAATGAACGCGCGATTTCGCTTTTTCCCGCGCACGAGTGTCGATCGAGGAGACACGCCGATTCCGGAGATTCCGTGAAATCTTCCCATAGAATCGTTAAATGAAATAGATCATCGATCTATCTGTGCTGTGTGCTATCATGCCGCAGGAGAGCGAGAAGATCGGCAACGGCGCCGGGTCGACGATTCTAACGAAAGAACGCTACGGTCCTTCGATCGAAAGTGACGCGGAGGCACAGAGGACCCTTGCCAAGGAGAAGCCCGATGTCAAGAGGCAGGAGGATCTAGAGCTTCGCAAGGGTGCCGACGACATGCCGGAACTCAAGGATCAAGAATTGGAGGACGACGAGCAGATCACTCTGGATCTGTGCGAGCCGCCGCCGGAAGTCATGGAGTACGCCAGAAGGGAGTTAGGGGAGACCGACGAGGTCAAGTGTCAGACGCTGCAGGAGTTCCGCGATATGATCTACGGTAATTCGAGTTGGAGTATTAGCTCCGAAACGATCGTGAGCGTCAACGAGAAGAGGTGTCAATGTTATAAAATCGGCGGTGCAAATTGTCCTACCGAGAGAAAAGTACAATCGCAAAGTTTTAGATTTGACGGGCGCAACAATTGTTTCTGAGTCCCAGTCTACAATAGGTGTTTTAAGCCCTAAGCCCTAAGAAATTGACCAATCACAGTCAATTTTTCTCCTCAAATTCAACTGTGATTGGACAATTTCTTAAGGCTTAGGGCTCAAAACGTCTATTGTAGACCGGGACTTAGACAGCACCATGTCCAAAATATCGGAACATTTTAAAGATGTATTAAAATTGCCTTTAAGACGTCTTAAGCGTCGTCTACAATGGCAGCAGGAGTATGCAGTAAGACGTAAGCAATAGCTATTGACCAACCACAGTCGATTATTCTTGAATTGTAAAAATCCCATTAGTCAATAACTAATTGCTTACGTCTTACTGTATACTCCTGCTGCCATTGTAGATGCTTTTTATGTCGCAATTTTGGACATGCTGCCTGGGTTTTGTAACACATTGATGTTAGCAACGATATGCTGATGTTTCTGTAAATGTACATATTTCTATTTCTGGTTTAATTAATTGGGACATCAGATTTAAAGTAAATCTTTTGAGTTAGACAGATATGTGCAAAAATGACAAAAATTTCGTAGAATTCGTAACGGTTCGCGATCAAGCAGAAATAATTGTATTTATATTATTGTTTGGCGCAAACGAGTTTGTAATGTATGTGTTCTTTCGCAGAGACAGGCGAGTGCATGCCGCACAGGATGGACGACGATTTTCTCCTCAGATTTCTTCGCGCTAGGAACTTTAACATAAAGAGCGCACATAAGCTGGTGAGTTATAGATGTACAGGCATTGACAATGACATTTGCGATGAGGCGGACAGTTTAAATCGATGTGAAAGAGGCGTACGCCTTTATTATTAAACGTATATGCTCGCGTCGATGTGCTTTTTGTCACGTAAAGTAAACGATAAGAGTTTATCGCGTGCAGAAATAGAACGTCGACAAAAAAAGGAAAATAATGCAACTGCTTAAATTCTTTAATGCATTAAAATATTTTGCTCACTATACGTTACCGTTGGAAAATTTATGAAAGTAAACACTTATTGGCAATCATAATTTTGCAATGTTTTATGAGTCAATGAAAAGTTATAATGATTGTGAGATAATCAATTAACCTACTTTTTCTGGAGTTCTATACTATTTCTTAATAATTTTATTACGTGATTATTTGATCTAATCATATAACATTATTCCAGCTGCTTCCTGTCAAATACGAAAACAGTAAAGAAGGATCTTGAATTTAATACAGATTACTAAACCGGATTATGTATGGAATCTAAAACTAGTTGCGTAAAGCCTCTAAGAAATGAACTTTTATGTTTCATTGTTAGATACCCCTTTTCAGTATCGTAAATATTCTTATTAAACAAATTATATACGAGGCAATAAAAGTTTTGCGTCAAATCAATAGCATACCGTCTCTAAACGAATTAAATTACTGTTGTTAATCTTTGACATTTGTCGAATCGTTAAAATACTCGCAAACATCGATACGAGATATATAAGCATCTTGTCTACGCGCGTCTGAATAACTTCTCGGCATCAAGAAGCAGCAATAAAATTCTTTTTATAAATCTTTTAAAGAGCAAATTAATTTATGTAAAATACGCGCGTGTAAAATTTATTTATGCCCGTTCTAGACTGGAGGATCCGCGGCTCATCCTAGTGAGTAGTGTAAATGGGTAAAAATCATGGATAATCAATGATTTTTATCCGTCTACACTACTCACTAGGATGAGTCGCGAGTAGGATCATCCTCCAGTCTAAAACGGGCATTAGAGAGAAAGTTGAACATTTTTTAAAAGTTTTGCACTTTACTCTGTTGTGCTGATAAATTTTCCAACGATATATATATAAATAGTCCTCTCTACAGAATTAAAGAAATCGCATGAAAGATTTAAAAGGATGAGTTAACACACAAGATTTAATAATATGTACTAGGCTATCGTGCCCGGTAGTGGATTTTTCCGTAATTATAAAATTAGATTTAGAAATTTATAACGTTAGATTTTATAATAAACCTCGCTTGCTTTGTAATTAAGTATACATATCTAATTTACACATTTAGGAGCATAAATTTAACAAGTTAAATTTTAAATATGTTACGTAGATAAGTGATACTTATTTTTCTTTTCGAATATCATGAAAGACTCCTGTATGCACAATCCTGCATAATTAATAATTTTTTTCTCGTTTAGAGAATTGCTTCATTTATGATCATTAGCGGAATTATACATATATTCAGAGAAATAAGAAAGTGTATTATACCCAGTAGTTATGTCCAATGTAAGTCAATCAAACTAATATAATTGTAGCGACAGTTTGAATCTATATATATTTGTTTTTTTTCGTTTCTAATCTTATCGCGAACAAGTAGACATAAATCGATTTAATCGCGTACATATTTATGTCTTTTTCTTTTTTTTATATATTTTTCTCTTTCTTATATTTTTATTATCTTTCATTAACTTATATTATCTTGGATTATTCTGTGTGTAATTCAATCCAAAGTTGCTTTCGCAAAGTCGCGAATTCTTTTTCGAGTGTGATTAGATAAAACAATGATTGCAGAGATTATTGATGTGTATCAATATTTTCGTTTACAATATAAAAACGTCATTTTCAATTATTGTGGATGCTATTGGTTACGAAATTTTAAGAAATGTCGAAATAATATTTATGAACCATTGTGCAATTAATAGTGAAAATACATCGATGAATAAAGCGCGAACACGGAGTGAACCTTCTAGTTGCACAATTATGTCAAGGTGAACTGATCTACCTTTCGAGATCTGAAATACGCGGCGCGCTGGTATTCCACGAAAATTAGAATTAGTAAAAGCATGTGGAAAGGATCTGGCCTTTTAACCGAACACTTATTAAGCTGCTTTCAGTAATTGGCTCAACGACCGTGGTACAATTGCGACATTTTACTGAAAAAGTGGAATGAAAATTGGTATGGATTTAAAATAATTTCTCCATCCAGAATCAGAGCTTTAAGGCGACACTATCGTTAATTTTCCGATCTCCATATGCATAAGGAAACAAACGGGCTATTCATAAATGTAATTGCCGGGGAATAGCCGATGAATAATTGATTAACGATATAATTTATGCCTGTCTAACGATCAAGAATTCATAATGATATTTTATCTTAAACCGCGATAATGAACGACATGGAATGCTTATCCAACGTACACGTTCGCGATTTTATAATTCAAATTTGTGAATAACGAAATACAGTTAAGAAACCTCGAAAAACACGAATAATTGGGTTGCGTGCTATTGAAAAGCGTAGTACTCGAGACTTAGGATTCATACAATTTTAGAGATTACCCGCTATTGAAAACTGTATACAATTCAAGACTCCAGATCCGTATAAAAGTAGGTATTTGAATCCGGGGAATTATCTACAAAAAAAAAACTTTTGAAAAGTAAGATGTCACAATTTTCTTTACCGTGCTACTCGAGACTCCATGCAATTAAAATACCGTATTATTCGAGGGGTCACCCTGTATTCCCGCGCGAACGACCGAGCGCGCGAGGTCGATTTCTCTCTCAAGAAATTTTTCGATAGATAGTGAATTACTACAACTTCAAAGAGGAACACCCGGAGATCCATCAGATGATGAGCTCGACCGAGATGAGGTATATAGGTGACGACAACGTGATCACGGTGCCGCCGTATAGAACCCAGTGCGGCAGACGCGTAATGATCTATCGTTTTGGCAATTGGGATCCGCGCAAATATTCCACCGAGGAGCTCTTCAAAGCCACGGTCGGGATCCTCGAGCTCGGCATCCTCGAACCCAGGGCGCAAATTATGGGCGGCGTCGCCATTTTCGATTTGAAGGACATCTCCATGACACACGCGTGGTCCGTGACGCCTCAGGTACATCGTTATCCATTATCTTTCTCCTTTTCTTGTTGCACATGGGATCTTTACATTACTCCCAGGTTTGCGATAAATGTATTAATTATGAAATTAAAAGGCGGAAATAGTGTGCTAATATAATCACGCGTGTCGGCGATCCATTTTCTAGGTGGCAACTATGATGCTGTCTCTGATGGTGACCGCGTTTCCCATCAGGATACACGCGCTACACATCCTCCATCAGTCGTGGGTCTTCGACGCGATCTTCGCGGTCTTCAAGCCGCTGCTCGACGCCAACATGCGAAACAAGCTGTTCTTCCACGGTAGCAACTACGAGAGTCTACACAAGCACATATTGCCCGAGTACCTGCCGAAGGTGTACGGGGGCACGAGGAACGAGCTGCCCTATTACAAGTGGATTGCAGCCATAATCAAAGATCAGAAGGTCGTCGAGGAGATGAATAAAATGGGATATTTCGTCACGGACGATATTCGCGACTCCTTCATTCAAAAGTAAAATCGATCAAATCCTGGGGAGAGAACGGGGGGGCTTCAGGGAAACTTTAAAATATGCATGGTATTCTTTTGTATACATGATATTACTTAGCAATTAGTTCGCACGCTCTTATCATTAGTATCGCCATTTAGTCTCTTATTACCGTATCTTTTTGACTTTTCGATTAAGACACAAGACGTCTTGAATGCGTTTTGCGTAGATTATTTTACGTTATTTTTAGATAGAATTTTAAACGCTTTATATTATTTATATATCCAAGATATATCGTACTTGTGATTATGTATTCAAGGTTGGTAGCTAAGGCCTTAAATAAAAGTTTTACCACGATCAAATGGACCTGGAGTAATCACCTGTATCAAGCTACACGCTTATCCGCCACTCGCGTACACGATACGTTGCAATTGCAGTTATCATGCCTCACTGCTGCCTAACGGCGTAATGCCCGCGATAAGAATCGCGGGTTGTGTTTCTCCGCACGCTTCCACCTGATGAACCTAATGCTATTTTGGCCCTTTGCCGAGTCACTCCCATCAGTCTCATCGACTCGTAAGTTGATTTCCTTTTCCCGCGATTTATCAACGGCCCCACCGTTGATCGAAGCGATGTTATTGGGAAACGATCCATCCTACATTGTGACTTTTGATCCACGATACGTCGCGATGCAGTTTCCATCAGTTAATTGAGACTCGGACGCGCGTCGGATTTCTTCCTTCCGTATAGCGAGATCGCCGACGAGTGTGAGGAGAATCCACGAACCGTGACTCGAGAGTCAATTGGATTATTGGCATTTTCAGTAGAAACAGACAAAGGTGATTTCTGTGACGGATTTCTGCGATCCGAGGAAATAAGGATAGCGTGCAATCCGCTCCGGATGGTAAGCGAGTGGTTATACGAAAATTAAGCGAAGGCGTAAAAGGACGATAACCGCAAAAAAAGCGGAAAAAGAGTCGCGTTAACTTATTCAGCGGGTAATTGGGATTTAGAGCGAATCGTTGAACGTATCGATGAGAGTTAATCGAATGGCGCTCTTGAAATAATTATTTATTTAGTTGCGCTCGCTTGACCTCAAAAACAGATAACCAAGTTGCAATAATATCCGCGGTTGGAGATCGTAAACCGATGAAGGTATAAATTGATAAAGAGAATCATTCGCGATTGGTCGGCGAAATATTCTCGGAATATAACTTCACGTATTACCGTACGCAAAGTTATAAAACTTTCTTAACATGATAAAAAGGAAGGCAGTAACGGAAAGCAAAACAAGATATTCTGCAATTACTGTGAAAAACTGGAATGTAATTAAATTAATGAAAACTAGATTTCGTCGTAGAGTAACGGTTAATAAACAGCTCATCCTGATCTAATTGATACTTTTCAATATTTATAGCAGACGCACATCAGTGATCAACATTTAATAGCACACGTTTAAAGCAAAGTACAAGTAATTTTTGAAATTGTGAACGCTTTATTAAAAAAATAAAAAGCAATAAATATCTATGATTTAAAAAATATCTATGTCTTCCATTAATTAAAATGATTTAAATGACTTTGTTTCTAATTCAACTTTCTTTTTTTGCTCGAAAAAAGTACATTTAACTTTTGATACAGTTTGCGTAATTAAAATCAGCTGGGAAATGTTTCTAATTATCATTTTTATTTATTTTGGCATTATTTTATTCTGCTTTTATTATTATTTTTTAAATATAAAATTTTGCTCGCCGTAGTTTCAATCATTCACGATTTGATCATAAAAAATTTCTGGACTAAAAAGAGAGAAGCGATATAGAGTATAGAGCTTATAGTGCCTGAGGGATTCACGCGAGCCAATTGTGCTCGCCTGTCCTAAAATAAGAACTCGGCCACTCCGGGATGAACTCGAGATAGAACCAGGAAGATGAGGCCGCGCGCCGTGCGGGGGGGAGGAGAGGATGCAGTTAGGTCGGCGGATACATAGGTAGGACCGTAAAGGAGGCGCAGGTAGGGCCTGGCGTCAACTGCTGGGGTTTGTGGTGGTTGATATCGACCCGGGTCGGAGGGTCGTGTAGCAGTCAGGATCGCAAGGCGCACGCCTGGACGTGGACGGGAGCGGTGGCGCGAGAAGGAAAGCGGCGCAGGGTGGCGAAGTAGACGGAGATACATGGACAGAGAGACGCGCGGAGGGTGCTGAGGAGGGTGGAGAAATATATCAACGTATATACGTACACACGATCGTGGAGGCAGGTCGTGCAGAAGAGGTAGTAGGAACCCGCCGGTAGTAGCAACCCGGCTGGCTAGCGCACCCCACACGCGGGTGCCAGGCGCGCCGTATCCCCGAGAAAGAGAGGCTTATTACACAGTCCGGCAGTCCGGCTCGTCTTGGCGCGCATGTGTGCGTGTACGTGTGTGCGTGAGTGGTGCGAGAGTGGCTGCTCGGTCTGAGTATATACCTGTATCGCGTTATCCTTCGGGTAACAGCTGCGTTAACGAGGCTCGAGGGAATTCTCGCCGCTGAATCGCGTTTCGTCTGGTCGTGTTCCGGTGCGCTCAGCCACCCAGACTGAGTCACGAGCGAGACTACGCTCACCCCGTTCGCCCTCGTCTCTCGGCGAGGTGGTGGAACACGCAGCGCGAGAGGAATATCGCTCGAGATTTAGGGTGTAAGGACGGGGTGCGTTATCCCGGAAACCACGGGGGCTCCATGTGCATCCACGAGGAGGAGGAGGAGAAGGTAGCCGTGATCGGTCGATCGTCTCCATAGAGGAGGACGCGGCCGGACGCGATGATGCGGTAGAGTGTGGACGAGAGGAGTAATGTGACGGTGCGTGGCGCGCACTCAGCGGAAGAGGACGAGGACGACGAGGACGACGACGACGACCGTTAAACCGGCGCCATGTCGCAACAACAGCAGACCCCGACGAACGAGGATTCCTACCTAAGCTGTGGCAGGCCGTCGAACCTGCTGAAGACGAGCTTCAGCAGCGCCCGCCTCGAGAAGCTCTATCGCGCCTCGTCGCTGCAACAGCGTCGCGGCGGCCTCACGTGCTTCCTGATGTCGGCGATCCTGTACGGCCTCTACACGTTGTTGACGCCGGGAATGGAGCTGCCGGCACGTTGCGTCAGCGCCGTATTTGTCGGCCTGAACTCCGCCTTGTTAATCCAGACCGGCTGCATCAAGCTGAGCACGGCACGCAACTCGGTCTGGTCGGTGGTGCCGTGCATAGTCGGACAGCTGTGGATCGTGCACCTGCCCGCTCAGCTGTTCCTCAAGTCCACCAAGGTCACGCCGGGGGACAGCCTAGCTTGGATGCTGCTGCTGCTCTACCTCCTGTTCGCCACCCTGCCGCTCAAGCTGTGCCGCTGCACGTTCCTCGCCCTCGGCAGCGTGCTCGTGTACTTCATCGCCGTCATCGGTCTCTCCAGCACGACGTTGGAGGAGCTTAAAACACAGCCTGTCGATATTCTGGTAGGTAACAGCGTTGTCTCTCGCGTGTCTCGTCGTGGATCAGTCAGATCCACGGATCTTCGAAAGAGAGAGTTGGAATTTGAGGACCGCAGAGAGACAGAATTGGCCGACGAGAGGCAACAGAACTCAAGCACCGCTGAGAGGATTTCTTTAACTCGCGGACGCGTGAAAGCACTTGTCGTTTAATCCACGTTAGCTAGCCGAAGCTAGCGTAATCCACCACGTGACCTCTTTCCATTTATAGCGCCCCTCTATAAAGTTATTAAAAATAACTCGAATACTCATATACACTGCATTCTATATTTAATAAGTTAGTCCCTTCGATCGTGCCTAAAAACGGCGATAACGAGCTTAGAACGCGAATGCCGCGGCGTCTACATTGTCGTCAGAAGGGAGATCGGACAGACAAAAAGAGAGAAAAAAATCCTCAAGTTTGAATAAAACGTACCTGTCTCGTTGAAATCGTTTCGAAAGTGACGCGAGCACAATTGCACGCGAGTTAAAAGAAAAATGAATAAATAGACGGACTAAAACTCAGCGCGCGCGTGTTAATTGCTAGAAAGGGGATGCTTTTCGCGCTTTCCGATACGCGCGATGGACAGAAACAACGGTGTTGTTGGCGCCGCGACTTCTACAAACTTAATTCACTGTCAACCGTAGACCGGCGACGCGTGCACCAACAATCGATCCAAGTTCAACGAGGCGTATCTCCGCCGCTTTTATGAATATACGCGACACACACGGTTGCGAAGAAAAAAAATAATAAATTAGAAATTTCACGTTGTAACTCGCGAGGATTGTTTCTCTCGTGAAGAATCGAAAATCGGGTAAAACGTCGACGTTGAATAGTTCATTCGTAATGATTTTATCTCGTTCAGAATTGTGTTGTTAAATGAGTCGAACACGTACCGTGATAAAATGTCGTTCTGTTAAAACATACGGAGATATCTGCGAAACGTGTGGGTTACGCTGACGACGTATTTAGCAGCACTATTAATTGCAAATCATACTATTTTTGATCGTAACTCTTGACCTTAGATATGCACTGTTAACGTTCAGCGCGACCGACACGAGCTTACGCTACGTTTATCGCACATCGATACGTCGCGCCGAAGATCAAGGATACTACAACTGACTTCTTCTCCATCGCGGTTTTTGTAGGTGTCCGATAATTAGCGATAATTTAACTCATTTGTTTGGAATAGCTTTTTGTGGTAATTATTATACATATAATAAGCATCGTAATAATTATAGTATTTATATATAATTATATTAAAATCATAATCGGAATTTGTACATAATTATTAATTAATTAAAGTAATTATATCGGTGATTATATTTTAATAATTATTACAATAACGATAATTTCAAATAAATAAGTTAAATCATTGCGAATTATCGGACACTTACAAATACACGATGATTAATCGAGAAGAGGTCAATTATTGAATTAAAACTGGTTGTATTTGCACATCGGGAAACCCATTGAAACTCTCTATGCCATTGTTAAAGAATTTCCCAACAATTATCGCTATTAACTTACTAGATTCGTTAATCCAACAGGTAATACGCATTTTAACGCATTGCATTGCAAATTTGATTATTATCCACCTCCGTGAAAATTGATACATACGCGCGATACGACTCGCTGCGCTTATTACGTGGGCTTGTCTTATCGATCCCGGTACACGATGTAATACCATTGTTAAAGTGATAATAAGTACTCGCGCCGCTATGTATCGCCAGGAAAGTTGCACTCGTATATATACACCTTTGTTGCGAAGCGTGGCATTGAACGCATCGCACGATAACCGAGCCGATAGTTTGTCGCTCCCGTGTGTTGCGTATCTCGCGGTTTCGCAAGTGCACGTGATGCGTCCAGTGAAAAAGATATCTCAGGAAGCCGGGAAACTCGCGAAGCGATTGCTTCATCACACTTTCTCTCTCTATCTCCTTTTCTCTCTTTTTCACACTGTCTGCAATATTTGCTTTGCAATATTTTCTCTGCCAATCCATTTCATCGCAAAAAAATAATGCAATTATTGAATTAAACGAAGCGGCCGCGCTGGAGAGTGTTTCAGACTCGAGAAAACCTTTTATTAAAGCCGTGATCAGACTACGGATTGGGATTGAGATTGGATTGAAATTTGACCAATTAGAGCAAAGTTCACTAAACTTGAAGTTAGTTTTCTTTATTCTGATTGATTAAATTTCAATCCAATCTCAATCCCAATCCGTATAGTCTGATCACGGCTTTATTCCACTGAAATTGTCGTGTGACGCAAAGATATCGTATTTGTTTCACTTTTCATTCAACTGTGATAATCAACTTTTGTTGGAAAAAAAAAAGAAAATAAAAACTTCTAAATATTCAGGGCATGTAAGAGAATACTGAACTGATTACGCGCGTCTGTCGATTGCGTTATGGCAGAGCGTTTCAACAGACAATTGGCTTCATCGATCAGTAATAGCGTAGAACGGCTGATGTGGTAAACAGTACAGGTGCATCGGCCGAGGCGTGCAAAACTTTTGGCAGCAAATATCGTGTGAAAGCGAAAGCTGGAAGTAGACGCGCGCGGCACGTGGCTCCCGTCGTTAGTAACAGTCGAGTAGAGTTTGGTCAATGGTAGTTTAAAATAGAGAGCGACGAAGATAGAGGCACGTAATGAGAGCGAAATACAGAGTGAAAGAGAGCGAGAGAGAACGAGAGAGAGAGAGAGAAGACAAAGAGAGCGAGAGAACGGCGCTGCGCAACGATGCGAGAGGTTGCCTTTCGATATGCGACGCGCTTGATGCTTTTTCACTGGGATTGGAACTGACTACCGTTCACCAACATGGTGGAATACCATCCGGAAAAGTGACCTCACGATCGAGATATCGACTGGCGTTTGTCGCAGGAAAAAATACCGCAAAAGATGCAAATATGTTAGCCGTTGCGAGACTTTTCTGTTCCATTCTGAAGATAAATGTAGTTGGCTATTTTGTTTAATTTTTTACATAAAATATTGTATTAAAACAATACAGTTAAATTTGTAGTGTCAAATTATACTCAATTTGAGTTTTAATTATTCCTGTCACTACTGCTCCTACTCAATATATTATTTAAACTAAAATGTTAATTTAACCAAACCAATGAAGCTGAAATAATACTATTTTGTGTTACAATAATACATTTTGACACACATGGTTAAAAATAACAAAATGTTATTTAACTTTAGATTTAAATTTTATCCTTTAATATTTAACAGTAAATATTAACATTTCGAAAATATTGCATGCCAAATTACAAATCCTTATAATTCCATTGCCAATTATTGCTTCGCAATTTGTCATTTAGACGCAACGTAAGTAGCCGACGCGCAATTTGTAATCAAGGTCTTAACGAAGGGTCCGTAATAAATTCTCACCAAGTGGCGCGACTAGATTGCTCCCGCGGCGCTAGACGCTCGTAAAATCAGCTTCGTAAAAAATGTCCTACAGATCCTGACGCTGACGCTCTTCGTCGGCGCCTCTATTTTGGGCGCTTGCGGCTATTGCCTGGCGGAGTTTCAGCAGCGCCGCGCCTTCCTGGAGACCAGGCAGAGCTTGGAGGTCCAGCTGATGATCGAGGAGCAGAGCGCGGAGCAGGAGCGGCTGCTGCTCAGCGTCCTGCCGGAGCACGTCGCGGTCAAGATGCGGCAGGACCTCGGCGCGTCTCTCGACACGCAGTTCAAGAAGATCTACATGTCCAGGCACGAGAACGTGTCGATACTTTACGCCGACATAGTCGGCTTCACCGCGATCTCGTCTACCTACAGCGCCGGCGAGCTGGTCAAGATACTCAACGAGCTCTTCGCGCGATTCGATCAGCTCAGCGAGCGGTACATATTTTCACAGTTCTCACTTTAATGATGCATTGGCATTGCCATTAATGAGTCTCTTATGTTAATGCAGAAAAGAATATTTAATACCAATTTTAAGAGCTACATTTTTCTCACTACATTTGCACGTTTTTACTTTCGCTCTATCGATCTTGCGAGTAAAGTACACCACGCACAAGGTGAAAAACGCTGCGGTTCAAGCAGATCGATATTGTAAATATCCTAAATGTTTCAATTCAGCTGATAATTAATATCTTAATCATTTGGAGAATTAAATTATTTAATTAAAGTCGCCAGTGAGTTTGGGATATAATGTAATATTGAGGAAAGAAATTAAATATTTGTCATCCGCGTAGCAGAGTTATTTTTGTCTTCGCCCGATATAATGCAAGTTTAGTGCGAGTTCGCGTGCTATCAAATGCTAATCGTAAAACGGCACGGCAAAGTGGTAGAATTCCGTAGGTCGCGCGTTCCATTTCCGCCGGGGATAATGAAAATTGTATGATTGGTTCGACGGCGAAATTGATTCCATCAGTGAGCTTCCCCGTCGATTTTGTCTTCGGCTATTCCGACTCCGTAAATCCTGCCACAGGGGGAGGTCCTTCGAGGACACGATGGCAATCGATATCGCCGGGGACCAGGGTTTTCCATTGCCGCCGAATGCACTTTGCAGTTTATGTGATCATCATCCGTCGTCGCGTAATATTCTATTTATAGTCAGAATATCTTCTTCTTCTTCACCTACCCACACGCACACAGATGTCATTAAGGAACGTTTTTCAAACCGATCGAGCGGGCAAAGAGAGTTTGCGACATGGAATCTCATTTACAGATACGAGCAAATGCGCATCAAGATCTTAGGGGACTGTTATTACTGTATAAGTGGTGCACCCGTCGAAAGGCCAGACCACGCGGTCCTCAGCGTGCACATGGGACTGTCCATGGTGGAGGCGATTAAATACGTTCAACAAAAGACGAACAGCCCGGTTGACATGAGGGTGGGCATTCACACAGGTGCGGTACTCGCCGGGGTCCTCGGACAGAGGCAATGGCAGTACGACGTCTACAGCAAGGACGTCGAGCTGGCGAACAAGATGGAGAGCAGCGGAAGGGCGGGGTAAGAAATGCTACCTTACAAGACCGTTCGGTTTGAGAATGCGATTAGAGAGATGCGTTTATTATAATATTTGGGAATTTTTATCGCAACCGGATTAAAAAAAAGATCTTATCCTTCGGTTAATGTCAAGCGTGCTCCGTTTTATCTTAACTTTTGAATTATTGATATATCGAGAAATATTTATCGACCGAATGTTAACGTGATCGAGAAGCGAAAGGACGATATGACATTCGTATCCGTCGAGAAAGGGCCGCGCCTGCACGCTGTAGTGCATAAATAAATAAATGCTTTAAGGAGAGTACACATCTCGAATGCGACGCTGAGCTTCCTAAATGGGGAATTCGAGGTCGAGCCGGCGCACGGGGAGGATCGGGAAGAGGCACTCCAAAAAGCTGGCCTCGTTACTTACTTTATCGTGAAAGCCTTGAAGCCGTTTAAGCCAGCGATAACGAAAAGCCTTGCGTCGCTGGCGGACGCGGAAAACACAACCGCGCAAAGAATAATGGAGAACGCGGAAGACAAGATGGACAATATTCGAGAAGATTCCGAGGAATTTCAGCAACGTCTGAGAAAGAAGCTTGACAGCAGAGGTAAAAAGTGAAAAAAGTCAGGCATTTTCAGTCGAAGTTGAGGGAACGTTAACATAAAACTCGGCGAAATTGAATTCGAGGGGGATCGGGGGGTGGGAAACGTTGTTTCATTTTAACTCGGTAAGCGACTTAAAAATCCGCGCATGCGTTCGCAAAGTGTTACTCTCGTCGGGTGTTGCGAATTATCGACGCGGGCGCTGATTACAATCGACGCTCGAGCGAGCGTGTCGCTGTGTTGATTAACATTCAACTACGTGACACAAGCGTCGCGCGAGATCGCGAAAATAATCTTTTCTTTAGGTATAAAAATTAGGTTTAAAAATTTTTTAGAAACATTTGAGGGAGGCCGACAATCGATTTTACGTTTGCAAAATAATCTTTTTTTTCTAAATTCATTAAAGTCAGATTTTTCGGATGTCTTTTCGCGAATGAAAGCGACATGTTAGCCTCAGCGGGGATCCGCCCGATAGATAATGATAAACTCGATGCCAATCGTCGGACATCCGGCTTATTAACGACTCAACCTTGCGTGTGACGTCAGCCTATGAACACTCGTAGGTGGTGGTACCGACCTGAAAGGTCATGCCTCCTGGTTGACCCTACGGTTCAAGGATCCGAACGTGGAGACGGCGTTTCACAGCGTCGAAGAGGCCTTCTCGCCCCTGTCGCTCCTCGGCGGGCCCCTAGTCACCATGTGCGCGGCTCCAGTCTGGAGGCTGCAGCCCTGGGGACCGTTCACGTGGGGTGGCGCGGGAGTGGTCACTCTCTTCGGTGTCGTGCTGGCTGGAGCTACCTGCTTGGGCAGCGCGGTCAGGGCGATGTGGTTCAGAAGCACCCTCGCAGTCCTGATGACGTTCTCCCTCATAATCTTCCTGCTGTTAGACATGGTACGAATTCGGACACCTACTGCTTTCAATCTATACTTGCTGCCGCAGCTCGACCGTTCGCACAATTGAATTTTCTCTCTCAATTTGTTATTGAGATGTCTTAGAAATCTCAGATTTATTTTTCTACGGAAAAATTCAGAGTTATTTCAATAAAAATTTAATAAATGACACTCATTACAGAATCTTCAACGTTTATCATTGTTTATCTCTTTAGTATTTCAAAGCGTTTAAGTTTTTGATAAAAATGTTTCTCTAGCAGAGAGATATTAGCTGCACATTATCCTTACTATCCGTTTCGTGTAGACTAACTGCGTGATCGTCGACGATATCGAGCCGCCGAGGAACGCCTCGCTAAATAACTGGACCTGGCGATGTCCGTACCCTTCTTATTATTCATACATCGGCGTCCTCGGGCTGGTCGCTATCTCGATGCCGACATACCTGTGTTACCTGACCAAGGCGTGCCTGATGTATTTCCTCGTCGTCGCGCAGTCCTGCATCAATGTCCTGTTCATCTCATCGAGCCTCGACAGGGAGGACGTGGCATCGAACCAAGGAGCCGTGCCCTTTAAGCTGAAATATTCGCTGGCGGCCACCTTGTTCACCATCGCGACCGCACTAGTCATCGTAGCGAGATACGTAAGTGTAAAATGTTTCGCTTATTAGAAATATTTTAGATCGCTACAAGCATCGTCGGCACTTATTCTATCTTATTAGCGACTCGTTAATGTAAAAGAAATTAATATGGAATATTTTAATAAGTAAAATCGACCGATAATCGAAAATATTAATATTGATTTATGCATGATATTGAATAAATAAATAATAATATTTATAATTATCAGACGGGATTTTAATAATTTATATAAATTTTATATATTTCTGTATGCTTTTGAACCATTGATTACTATCCGATCTAAAAACGTAATTTCATTCAAAAGCTAAATATATATAATACATTGTTAAATTGATACTTATTATAAATATCTTATAAATATCGTTTATAAATATCTTATAAACCTACAAAGAATTTATATCGAGAAATATCATCCCAGCCAAGGTTCGAATCTGGATTTCCCTATACTATTCGGAGCATCTATACCAATAATAAATTGAATAAATAGCGAAGAAACTTGAGCATGCTGGAATATTTCGACATTAACGGCGGTCGATTGCTACAAGCTATAACGGAGACATACATCGGCCGCGGCTTTACGTGCCGATCGATCTACGGTGCGTTGCTGCAGCACGCGAGAATGGAACGACTCGCGAAAATGATGCCTTCCTCCAAGGTCGGCATGTCGATAAAAGAACAATCAATTCTCACGGGTCTATAAAACCGCGCCGACGATTGCCTCGACGATCCATTCCGTGTCGCGTTAAATCAGATATCAAGAGCGGTATTGCGAACGCTTTGAAAATGCAATCCACGTTATTCGTACAAATTGATCATGTCGATGGACGTTACGTTTTTTAAAAATTATCTACTTTATTTTCAACGTTTCAACATTAAATTATTTCTGTAAAATTATTACTGAAATCATATCCCACTTCGCGTATATCGGAAAAGTATATATGAAGCCATAACGCGGTGTTGTAGTTTTCCCGAAATAATCCGACAATTATTTGGGTATTTGGGCGCGAAATGGAAACATAATCCATTTGCGGACGGCGATGATGATGGGTTCAATCGAGAAATTGGACCTCGGGTAATTCGCGATTTTTGAGTGGGCTTTTCACGGCGCGTTGAATGACACTCTATCCGCCTAGCACGATCCTCTATATTTGCTATCGAAAGCGTCGAGTGAGAGAAAGGCGAAAGCAATTTCACAGAATTTTCGCCCTAACGAGGCATTTCCCTTGACGGGAACATAATTTGCGTGCGAGTTCTATGGAACACGAGGGAATTCCGAGTAAAAGCGCTTTTAGTTTTGCTATAAGCTATAAGCTAATTAACTATTTTGTAATATCAAAATAATGTAAAAATGTACAACAGAACAATCAGAGATTTAATTGCGATCAAAATTTCAATCTTTCCAGTCGTTTAATAGTTTAATTTAACGGCAATCTTGTTAACGACCATACGAATATTGTTTGCAGGCTGAAAAGGCGCGAAGAATGCTGTACCTGCGAGGGCGAGAGGTGATCGCGCAGAGGGAACGGGCAGCGGATATGAAGCGACGAAACGGTGCTCTAATATACAACATCCTGCCGCCTCACGTGGCCGCTTATTTCCTGTCGCGCGCGAGGCACCACGACGATCTTTACAGTCAGAGCTACGCCGAGGTGGGCGTGCTGTTCGCCAGTATGCCGAACTTCGCGGACTTCTACAGCGAGGAGAGCATCAATAATCAAGGCCTCGAGTGCCTCAGGTTCCTGAACGAAGTCATCTCCGACTTCGACGCCGTAAGTTTCTCGCCCCGTTCAGCTCAATACCGCAAAGTTTTCTCGTTACGGTGATTACAGCTTCCCTTTATACCCCTGACTTACCACTCACTCTATCCTGCCCTTAGATCCTCGATCAGAAGAAATTCAAGAGCATCATCAAGATCAAGACGATAGGATCGACCTATATGGCCGCTTCGGGAATATCCGAGGTGCAAACGGTGCAGTCGGAGGACGGTCCCCGGTGGGGCCATCTCGTCACTCTCGTGGAGTTCGCGCTGGAGCTTAAGAAAGCCCTGTCAAGCATCAACGAGCAGAGCTTTAATCACTTTGTTTTGAAAATGGGCATCAATCATGGACCGGTGACTGCCGGTGTCATCGGCGCGCGGAAGCCTCACTACGACATTTGGGGCAACACCGTCAACGTCGCGTCGAGGATGGAGAGCACGGGGAAAGTCGGCTGCATTCAGGTATCAATCAGTAAAGATGCATTAGCAGTCGCTTCTAAATTCTTTGGTTGATAAACACAATTTTTTAACTAGATTTTCACTAAAATTGAACCGTCAAATAATCTTTTAATCTTGAACGAAGTCCTGAACAATATTAAATTAAAAAAAAAATAATAATAATAATTTTCAGGTCACGGACGAGACGCGGAAGATACTGGAGCCGTTCGGTTTCGGCTTCGAGCAACGAGGTCTCGTCTTTGTTAAGGGAAAGGGGCAGCTCTTAACGCACTATCTCGTCTCCAAGGACGGCGTCTTTCTCGATCTCGACAGCGATCTGCCCGTCGAACCTACCCACCCGATAATCTATCAGTAATGTACTCGAAGGCTCTAAACTCGAACGAGAAACAAACTCTTTCACCGGGGGTATCAAGCCGGTTGTTCAGAAAGAACCCGTTACGATTTTCCTCGGCATCAGGTATCGGGCTGGATGTTCTCCAACGTCCGACCTGATAGTTTCCGGGAGCTGGTGAATCCACGAATCGTAAATTAGACGACGTCTCTCTGTTCACCGAACGAATTTTTCTTCAAGGACGTTCGACAAGCTAAGTGTGTATTGTCGTAGAGAACTCTCTAAATGTTAGCATCCTCGTGTCCTCAAAAAGAGAAAATGGCACGCGGAAAGAAGGACGAGGAGGATTGGAAAAGGGCTCGAGATCGACGCCCGGAGATCGTTCGCGACTGTCCGCGAGTGTCATCGTACGTCGCCATATCATCATTCATCATCATTGATAAACGCGAAGGGAGAAAAGTTTGCACACAGCTGCCGTCGATTATTCATTGTCACACGTTCGCACGCGCACACGCACGCACGCACGCACGCACGCACGCATGCATGCACACACGGGATCACGCGTGCGCGCGTGTCTTACGAACGGCGGGGGTGCGTTGAACTCGTACAGGGTAATATTCGAAACAAAACAAGTAATAGGTTTAGAGAAACGCAGCGGGTTTGAAAAGCGCGAATGAAACGATATTTTGATGTCGCCGTGTAAATAGCAATAGATCCGTAGGGGTGAACACAGGTGTAATATCGTTAACAGAGATATGTAATATAGTGAGCAGATGGAACGCCGTCTCGAGGATCTGGATAACGTAGAGGTAATTTACTTCGTGTGTGGTAAATCTCATATTTTAGAGCTAAACTTCTTTCTCCAAGTCGCACTGATCGGACACGGTTGCTGACGCGGAAGCTGCACGAGAAACAATTCGCGAATCCTGTCGTTATTCATAGGCCGGTATTCATAGTCAGATCTTATATTTAAGATCGTCTTAAGTCTGGTCAAAGGTAGTCTTAAGACTCCATCCAACCAATGAAATGACCGTATTAGCATCTTAAGACATTACTTAAGACAATATAGAAATAAGATCCGACTATGAATACCGGCCCCAGACAGCACAATGTCTAAAATCGGGAGACATGTCTAAAATCGGACATAGACGTCTTACGTCCAGATTTTGGGACATTGTGCTGTCTGGGTGGTATCGGTATTCCATATTAGTGTCCTTCTCGATAATTGCAATAACCCAAAGAATTCTCATCTACAGCTCTTCGTCAGTTTCCGTGTCTGATCTACACACAACTCGAATTCGATCTGCGACATTTCGATCGCCGACATACGAGGATATAAAGAGAATCTTGAGAGAGGTGTTGGCAGAAAAGCGCGAAGTTGTCCGTTCTCACGTCACCACTTTCGGTTATCAATGACGTTTCTCGTAACATGGCATAATTTTATTACCGTCTATTCGATTGCAAATCAACGATTTAGCGCGGGCGACGTCTTTTTAGGAGTCTTAGAGAACTGTATTCTCCCGGATACACGTCACCTGTAGAGAGCGCACACGAGATATACGTATATCGGAGACAGAATATATATATTATATATAACGGCGGTACTCGACAAAATGAAAATATAAGAACATTAGGGAACTATAAATGTGCGCAAATATAAAAAAAAAAACGCAACAAGGAAAACGAACATCGCCGATTACGGTAGTAATTTATTTTTCTACAGTCGCCGAGAGTTTATCACAGACCAAGATGACTCGGATACGTGCGTAACGCACACGAGGAACCTTAAATGAAATTTTCTACTGACTCTTTCGTTACGTACGACGGCATAAATCTCAGCACAAAAAGAAAAGGAACGTCTCCCCTCGCACGTGTTCAAGGGTAACTTTGTACTCACTCGCTCTTGACGAGATTCACGTGACAATTCGAGTAAAAGTTGCAACGCAATTCGCGACGGCGTTGAATGTAACGAGAGGGTTGCGAGAGAAAGAGCATCGAGCGAGAATGAAAGAGTGGGTATGAGAGATTGAATGGGAGTGCAAAAAAAAACAAGTAGGTATCGGCCTAAACGCGAGAGAAGCTAACAATAAGCAAAAAGGTCAAAAATGGATCTCCTCATTCGGAGAGAGAAAAAGAGAGAGAGAGAGAGAGAGAAAGAGAGAGAGAGAGAGAGAGAGAGAGAGAGAGAGAGAGAGAGAAGCGATATACTTCCACGATCGTTCCACGAATCGCGTACTTCCATTTCCGGCCGACTTCTCGCCCGCACAATCATGCATGTGCGCAGTAAAATACGCGAAATTCGACGTGTACACGCGCAGACGCATCGATCGGCACGTTTAAATGTACACACGCGTACGTAGATCGGAGAGTTATCTTGTAAGATAGCAATAAATGGACTCTCCTTCGCGTATACATATACGCTATATTTTCATGAGTCGATATAGGAAATATGGATGGATTGACGTGTGACGTAAACTATCTATGAAAAGTTGATTAATTAAGAGAAATTAATAGAAACTCATTTTGTAAAATTTTGAATCCTTAATCCTCGAGATTGGGGGATTTTGTAAAAAAAAAAAATATCTTTTACCCCCCCTCCTTCGTTTTCTTCGTTAGAAGAGATATAACGGGCTGTCGTTGCATGGAGAATAAAAGTAATAGAAGAGTATCCAAAACATTTTTAATCTCCGACATCGAAGATCCTAGAAGAGATTCTATCTCGCAGATTGAATTTCTATTAATTCCTTTTGATCCATTGATTTTTTTTTCCGCGGCTGATGTAGGACGCGCAAAATGATCCGCGTGTAATCGTGTACTAGTCATGTAAGGAGAATATATCACTGTTGATATGTTAGCACTTTAAATGTGACGAAGCAAATTTGGAGCAAGCGAGAAAAAGAAACTTGTAAAACTTTCGACTTTCTAGCGCGGCAGGCGCAGCTGCACGCGAAAAATCCGAGGGTATAAAATCCGACATGTATAAAAACTACGCGAGAAACCCCACTCCTGCGTCGGCGAGATAATAAATGGCGTCTTTGCCTACGAGAAAATATGGTATTATTTTTTTTTCCAAACTGATGCTTGTGATGCACTTTTGAGATTTATTCATCGCGAGAGATCCAAGAGATCATTATTGTTAATTTTTTTGAACTGTATTTGTCCGAGATTCTCTTGGTTGCTGATGCTTAAGACAGGTTTCGAGATGCCTGGATATACAGGTTATCTTAGAGAAGAGAACTAAAGAAAACGACTAACAAAATCCTGTAATGGAATTCTATGAAGATAGCATAAAAATATAAGACGAGCTTTAAACATCCAAGGATTGGCCTAATAAGCGCCGGTTTCAAAAGTCGCAAGCAATTTATCACGAATTCAAGAAAGAAAGTAACAATCACGAATATTATTTCACGAATATTATATATATATGTATGCATATAGGAATAAGTTTGAAAACTTCTATCGGTAAATTTGGAACAAAACTTTGTCTCATCCTCTTCAGTTTAATTTTCTCGCAGTTGGTTCGCAAAATCAAGTCTATCTCTTAAGTGTCTAGGATTATACCAATCAGAGACGACAGGAGTAGCAAATGTTAGTATTAAAAACGACGTTAAATATCTTTGTAAATAAATTTCGAACTAGAACTCTGTGAGTTTTGTGAAAAAGAAGTAAAGTGAAGCTAATGAAAGAGCACGATTTGGTTGAAGCTCCATGGTCCTGAAGCCTAAAACGAATCCCTTTAATTTCCATTTGTTCGTAATTAAAAAATTGTTAATATCACGCCATGTTTAAGAGATTGAATTACAGAAGAACAAAGGTAAAATTAAAGCGGCTGCCGTCGGCTAGTAATTTTGTAGCCCTTTTATTTTTTGTCCTCTTTTGTTTCGCTGGAAGAAAGGAAAGTAATTTACCGCAAAATGGGACGATCGAAAGGAGGTAGTTACAACGTTTACAAGCAGTATACATTTAGCGTAGACGCGGTTAGACTCGGAAAACGTTTCGGTGAGTACGATCACGGATACATATTGGCACGATTAAATTCAACGCGCAACACTTTTATATCGAATCGACCCATTTTTTCGCGGCTGACATCGTGGCCGATACTGGACAGGATGCTGAATGGATCTCTAAACAGAACAGTAAGTATTATAATTATATAAATACGGAAACGTATACCGCCGATTGAAAATCTGCGAATGCTATTCTATACGCGAAGCTCGAGTTAAACTTCGTTCCACAATTAATTTGCACACTTCACGTTCCTGATTTGATTTTTTTATCAAAAATTCATTCTTTAATTTTAATTCATAATTACAGTCTTCATCTAGACACACGAAGAAGATAAACTTCATAAAATTGAAATATACCGATTTCTCCGTTTAACTGTATTATCGCTGCATGAATCGATGGCATCGTCACAATGGAAAAACCACAAAATAATTTAGGTCAGCTTTTTCCAGCTGTCTTTTTCACGTTCCCGCTTCTTTTCTTCTGTATTTTTTTTTCGATAGATATGATGATCTACGCTTGTTTTTCACGTAAATACCGAATGTGCAACTGAAAGAAACTGCTCTATTTTATTTCTCTTCAAATAGCATTTAAAAATGTGACATTTTAGCATTTTCACGTATTGTGTCGCAAAAAACCTTGAAACCGCAAAATAAAAAAGTACAAAAATTGTGGAAAATAGAAATCAAAATGTCAGAGTTGATATAAATTCTAGAGCGAGAGATTTTCTTCGATTTCTTCATTAGCAGAATTTAGGACAGTATACGTCTCGTAGAGTTGTGAAGTGGAATGTGACCTTTTTACCAATTCTGGTTTTATTGCGATGAGCACAAAAACATCATCGCGAGATTAATTTTGAGTGTGTCGTCGCGTATCATACAAGAGAAGTAAAGAAAGAAATTTTGTTCCTTACATATATCGTAAGTGCAACACACATTAGCGTTACATATATGTATACTTCGTACAATGCGATAGTTAAAAAAAGTAGAGAGCGGTAGTTCCGCTATATCGTGACGCGTCTTGCGTATAACTTTTAGAAATTTCGTTGCTTCGTACAGAGCACAACATCAAAGTAAAGAAGATATTCCTTCGTTACGCGCGCGCGCGCGCGACCATAAATATATACAATTTATATAATTATGTATGTATATATGTATTTATATATTTAATTATATATAAAACAAACGCGCGACTCTCTCTAGGCTGTACGAAACGAGTTCAAAGATGCCCGTTTGAGCTTTCATAAGCTTGAAACGGAATCGAAATCGGTTTTAGAAAATCTAGCAAAAATAAATTGTACCCTTTAGAAAATTCTTTAATGAGATAGTGTATATAACAAGCGAGTCGAGTTTATTTTTACTATACTGACGTAACGATCGATATGAGATTTTATAAAAATACGCGATATCCTTAACGCGTTGATCGCAAGTATCACGACTGGCTGGTGGCATAAAAAATTATTCAGTGTCGCATCGGATTTCGATTCGATTTCAAGCCTCGACCGTATTTGCGACCAAGCATAGACGATAAGCTGACCTCAGATTAATTTTGCATTGTCGGAAGCTCTGCTTAGTTTATCGCGGTGCGTTCGTCGTTTCCGGCCCGAAAGCCGGAATTTCCACCGAGTCGCGTTTTAACATTATAATTTAATTTGCCGGGAATGAGCGCTTCCCGGCCGATTGTCATGGAATAGAAGTTGTGTAAAGCACTTGGACAGTCGTTTAGAGGTTCCCCAAAAAATTCGCGAGATTACGCGAGATTACGCGATGTGCGGCGTCCGTGTGAGATGGCGACTCTGCGCGCGGACAAGGCAACGTAGATTGGCCAAGGGATTTCGGTAAATTGAGTTAAATAATTAATTAAACGGCTAAGAGTTCTAGAATGGTCGAAAGATCGTTTCGTGTCCCTTATTTTACATATGGATCCGTCCGGGGCGAATATTGAGAAAAAAAACGCGCTGAAAATTATCTAGGAAAGATTCTGTCGTCTTATTGATAGTAAAAATTCGGAGATATAATTCCAAAAATACGGCGATCTTTTAATTCGCGGTCGTTTGATCTTTATCTCGCGCGAGAATTGCGATTGAAACCGCGATTGAATTTTCGAGCGTTCGCTCAATTGCATAAAGCGTATCCTACTCGAGCGTTACCGAGCAGAATATAGACAGTTCAACGGATGGCTCGACCCACAATCGTTCTCTCCTCGTCGTCACAGCTGCAATCCGGCTTATATTGACCGAGGACCGCCCCAGTTACCCGTCTATCAGCACGGTGCAGCAAAATTTGCCGAAGAACATTTTAATGGATTTCCCGCACTTCTGTGGAAAGCGACGCGGAAATGTTTTCTTCGGCAATACCACAGATCAAAACACAAGTTTATATTCATTACCGAGATACTTAGGATCGAGTGCATTCGTCGATGTAAAAATCCCCGTCAATATAGATTCACGCGCGCAACTATTTTTCAGAAAATAAACCAGCTAGACTCGCAGCAAATATGCATTCTGTAAGCCTTCTCAGACCACGTGACTTTCCCATTTTACATGTTCTCTCCACATCGAAATTCTTTTTCGATTCCAGACCTAATACTATTTATGCATATTCGCAGTATGTAATAACTATATGTATATATATCGCATATTTCTTGTCGATTCAATGGATCGAATAACTTGTCGATAACGTTATTATATGATCTTCATTATCAATTTTGCGTTTTTTCTCGTGGCAGCGTCACCTTCGCTGAAACTTTACGTTAAATATCTTAATACACATATCGTTACGCGACAAAGACAATAAGACATATCGTATAAAATTGTTCTACAATCTGTCTGATCGCATCTAGAATGAGTCGTGTATCAACAGTCGCCACCGTCTCTTCATTCATTTCTCATTCACACGTTAATTTCGTCATTAAATGACCAATGAACACTCATTGTCAGTCAAAACGTCATCCTAGACGTGGACTGCGTCACGCAGTGTCCCGTGTCTCTTCCGTCGCTTCACAATACTTTCTCTCGCGCGGGGCGAGTTGAGATCCAGACCCTTCCTCAGGCCTCATCAGACGTTATCGCTGAAGGCACCCAAACGATTGCTATCCTGCGGGGATCCAGGATACCGGCCGGGTGCCAGCAGCCAGCCTCACGTCTTGGCGAACTTGTAGACCACACCGAACACCAGCACGCTCACCAGCATCAACACCATTGCGGTCACCACTTTGGCGAAGGCGTTCAGCCCGCTCTCCGTGGGCTGCTGCGATCTCCCGCTCGGCACGCTCTGCTTCGCGGCGAGACCGCGCGCCAGGGCGGGAAAGGCCAGGCTCTGGGTGAAAGTCAACTTGTGGAGGGACTCCGACAGGGAATACGGGCCCACGGAACCGCGGGCCGCAGCCCTCAACAGGGCGTATTCCAAATCCAGAGCATCGAACATGCTGTATCTGCTGAAGAAAGAAATATAGAAATATCGTGATTATTTTACCCTACGCGCTATAATTTATATTTCTTACAGTCGTTTTTATTATATTTAATTACTATACACACTATTCGGCTATTTTGTATAAGCTAGCGTATTCTTGAAAAGCAGTATCTTCAAAAGCATCGAACTTTCTTTTTTTCCTAGAAAAATTTTGTTATTTTAAACGCGTTACTAATATAATTGCTATAATTAACTTAAATAATTGTTCTAATTATTTATTTTATATAGAATATATACATATCTAGAATATATATATCATATAAGCTAACATACTTTTCTGGCAAATTTTTTTCAAAATCTCCCTCGCGACTTTAGCGAAAAGTCTGGCACGAGTACGACAATTCCGGCGCGAGCTCTTAGAATTGAAATAAAAGCGCAGATGAAGGTGTGACGAAGGAGAGCATAAAAGCGGGCCTTTATCAAGACGATCCAATGTCTTGACCTCGCACGAGGTTCGGCGTGCTCGCTCACAAGATTGTAGGATTGCGACAAGCAAAAAGAGAGCGAAATTGGGGCGCGGTTGATCTCAAGATGGGGGAGGGAAAAAAAGCGATTTTCTCGAGGTCCTCGTCGTAGAAAGAACCACTTGACGTTTGCGACGGGGACTCATACAAATGTGCGCGCACGTGTGCAATCGTAACGCTAATACGTCATTGACGTATACCTTCCGTACATTTGCATCGTGTCAAGGTCGTTCCTTGACACGAGTCAAGACCAAGTCCGTCATCGAACGCGTGTATCCTAACAAAAGATTATTTCTACCGTTTGGATCTCTGGGACCTTGCTCGCAACGCGCATACGCGGCCAAGGATAAGGTCGGAAAATAGATATTTGCGTTGCCGATACTTTTACGAGTATAAGGAACCGTAGAAGTAGAGATAATATTTCTTACAATAATACTTGTCGAACTTGTCGCGCAACTGCTTCGAAATTCTGTCCATGATGACAGTCTCTGCTGTGTGTGCGTCAGTATTACTAACTTTGCTCATTCATTGTGATTACAACTTTAGGGGAAGTTACCACCCTTTGTTTATTGCACACGATATAACAGATAGTCAAAATTTTATATGTTTGCTATAATTTTTCTAATCATTTTATGCATTATCATTAAAAGAATAAAAGTAAATTTAAATGAAAGAATAGAGAAAGATAAAGAAACAAGATCGCATTTGACAAGGACCAAAATCAATGGTCAAAACGTCATGAGATTATACAAATAAATAACTTTTGCCAGTTAGCGTCGAACATAATTTATTTCTTGAAACAAGATCAGTTCATCGGCCGAAGATGTTGGACGGAGTGCGAGCCAAATGCGTGAACGAGCATCAAATCAATTACCTGCTACTGCGTCTCCTGTCCTGCGAGTGCATCGACACGATCGCTGAACTCGGCATCGATCGCAGGCTGCCGGTGGTCGAACTTGAGGGACTCGGCGGCGCGGGCCGGTCCTCGTGGTCCTCGTCTATCGACGTCCTATCCGGCGACGGCGGACACTTCGCCCCCGCGTTATGGTGGTTGTGATGAAGATAATGCAGCTGCAGTCGCGCGTGATCCGGATGCAGCAAGCTGGCGCGACGCGATTGCTGCGGCGTCATCGCCGGGCTGTTGCAGGTGACACCGCACGGCGACGGCGATGCCTTTAACGCATTTCACAAAAGTTATATATATTTTTTTCACACGATGACAAATCGTGAATCGACAATTTGCGCGAGAGGATCTTAATAAAAACATGGTTAACTCTTTACGCGGAAAGGACCATGTTTTTATTAAGATTTGCTCTAATTATTGTTCTAATTATAAACCTAAACATTTTCGTGTTAGAACGTTTGATGCCCGGTAGAAATTTAATTTACGGCGTGTGCAAGAGTGTCTCGAGAATACTTATGTTTGTTCGATTCACTCAAGCACACTTGAAGAGTATTGACCTATTGACTTTATTGACGTACATGTTGGGGATTTGATAAGAAAATAGTATCGCGTAAAACTCGCACCTGGATGGATTCGATGCCGCTGTCGTTGACACTTTCCTGCACATCTGGGAATATAAAAGCTGGAGCCTGTCCGTCGGCATCGGCTCTGGGCGAGTCGCTGGGCCATACCTGAAGAAGAGGTAGTCCCCCGCGCGTCTCGTTGCAGACTTCGGCGATAACAACGTTGCTCGATGATACCCCGGCATTGAGGCACAAACCCAGCTCTCTCAGTGGTTTCTGCTAAACGACTTACAATTAGCAGTTTTATTTATGATTTTTGTCATAAATTCTGTATATTTTTTTTACGGAACAAAATTTATTTTTTTTTGTTCTTCGCACACAGAGATTAAAATGTGTCGAAGTAAAATGTGTTTTAAAAATATCAATTAGAATACAAACGAGATTTACTGAAGTTTTGTTGTTTGCGGCATGCACTCAGAACTGTATTGACTTTGAAATATTACGTAGGCTCGTATCGTGCGAGAACACCTTGCGACTTTTAGTTACCCGATGGCTCTCGATAATAAATATCGCCGCTGGGGAAACTTGGTAATGTCGTCGTGGCACGAGACAAACATTTTCTGCGTTCGCGCCGTATAAAAGGCCGGTCCTTCACGGCTGGATATTAGCATGTGAAATATTGAAAAGAAATATTTTTAGCCACGGTCGCGACGGTCGCGTTTCAAGAGCAGATTAATCGATCCGATACTTAGTTATTTCGCTGCCGCGAGCTTTACTTCCATCCTAATGACGTTTAAAAAGAGTATAACAAAAGTAACGGGGAAAATCTCGCGTAGACTTTTTTGTTAAGATAGAAAAATATCTCGAAGCTCCTGACACACGATTGAAACATCAAATCTTTTATCTTGTTGGATAAATAAAGCACAAATTTCACAGATTTCGCAGATTGCTATTGCAAAATAGTGAAAAATTGAAACTTCCGTGCGATACGCTATTTTCAGCGTATTTGTCACGAAATATCATGCACGTGTCCACTTATCGTTCATTCGTAATCTCACACAATATCTTTGACGTCATATCAGTGATATAATTATATTAATTTTCGTGGAATATGACTAATTACAGTTAAGAGTCCGATAAATTCCCCGAAAGATACTGTCATTCTTTATAAAATTAGTAACATAATTAATAGGTCACGTAAATTTTTAAATTGTAAATAGTTGTTAAAAATTATTAAGAATCTTATCAAGAGATGCGTCCCACGACAAGTATATTTTTCAAGTTTATTTAAATTACGTACATTTCGTAAATCCGTTCATGAGCGAGACGCTACAGCGTATCCGTTAGAAGAAGGAAAACTTTGCTAGAAATAAACACTTGTTGTTTTTAAATAAGTCGGTGTTATTGAAAGATGCAGATATTGGAGAATATAGATTTTTCCGATAATATTCTGCGATCATTGAAATATTAGACTCTTAGAGTACAACAGGCTTTCTATCTTGTTGAAATTGGATGCTTTTATCTGCAAATATATTTTATTAATGTAATTCTTTTATAAATACAACCTTTTATCAATACAATCTTTTATTAATACAACCTGGGCACGTATTGCGGAACTTTTCGGAGTGGATTTCAAACGGAATTGTACCTACAGCTATTTCCTAGATTTTCTATTGTATTTCCTAAGGAAAATGGAATAATTCCGACTGGAATTCATTTCGAAAACGTTCCATAATACGTGCCCTGGATTAATCTTGGCTCTCGAATGACGTCATTGTGCGCACGTGGAAAAAATAAATTCCTATATGTTAAAAATGGTCCATCTATTTCCAAGTTACTGAATAATGTCGGTCGATATTCGCCATCGTTTAATTTTATGTATGTATTCTATGTATATATTCTATGGTATTGGGTTATGAATCAGGATTGAAGAACCGGCGTTATCGTTTACACCGCCGTCATGATTTACCAAAATGAAGTGTAAAGCGCAATCTGAACCGTCATCTTTTCATAACTTCTCAATGAATTATTATTTCTACCTTCGCTCGTGCCTCACCTTCGGCCTTTTCGCGCCAGGGCTTATTCGTCGCAAGGGCTCTCTATCCGTCGATCGAACGATCTTGATTTTTATTAAACCCTGCCGACGATGTGTTGTGTGGACAACACGATGGATAATAATAAATACACGGTTTAAAGTTCAAAATGTCTCGCACGTCTCGCTGACCGAGAATCGCACTCACGCAGCAGGATGGCGCGCGTCCACCGAGACTGGCCGCAAACTGGGGAATAAACGGCTCGCTGGTTTCCGGTGCGGCGAGCTTGCAAAGGTCGCCCCGGTGTACAAAAAAGCGTCGAGAGAAAAAGGCGACAGGCCGCAAAAGCAATGCGAAATGGATCGATGAAACGCGAGCAAGAGGAAGTGCGGTTGTTGAAAAAAAAAACGCGTATAGCTAGTCCCGAAATTTGGAATCTGCTTTGCCCTCTTTCGAGAGAATTAGAAAGAAAGAGAGATCTCTTTCTAATTCTAAATCGTTTTCTGCAGAATATTTTCACAACTATAAAGAATAATAATATTTCGAATATTTTTCGCTATTCTATAAAAAGAGGGCTAATTCGGACCCCTCGGAAAATAAAGTCAAGGGCTGGCCACGGAAGAGTGCGAAACAGATCGATAATGTGCGAGCGGGAAGTGTGTCGGGCGATATGACGAGGGTCGTACCCGAAATATACAATATATCTGTTGACAAATCGAAATAAAACACGAAACTCGCAGTTATACCGCTTCGTCGATAGGCGAGAAAGAGAAAAACAGAGTCGCCGATGAAACGAAAATGTTGAAAACCTGTCGCCCGAGATGTCTCCGCACAATTTCTCCCCTCGATTCTTCTATTCCATTGCCATTTCTTAATGTTCGCGCTAAGCAAAACCCATCAAACGTTTATTGCCTCGCGGAATGATTCCGAGTCACGCTAAAAGTCGTAGGGGGGAAATGCATGGTGTTCAAATCGATAATGCAAAGTCTCTCTTTTTAAAGTGCGAACTCGTTTCCGCTGTGATAAAAAGTCAATTCGTCGCAGATGCGGATTCTTTTCCGTAATAGATCATTGTTATTGAGCAATAAAAAGAATTTGACTAATTCGGGGGAAAAAAATCACTGTTTCATCCCCCCTTTTTTTTGGAGAACAACTCCCAGAATTTGTGCGTCGCATCTCACTCGTCGCGTCTGACATTCAAGATCTCCCGCTCGAATCAGACCGCGGGAAAAAGACGCAAAATATCGAGCGTTACTTCGCATATTCGAACGCAATTTGCGTGCCAGATGAGTAAATGTTTTTTTTCTTCCTTTTTTTGCGAGACTTCCAAATGGAAGCTGCGAGATGCGTACTTGGCAGCACTCCAAATTGACTAGTGGAAAACCCCGCGAAGGAGCGCGAGGAAGATTGCGATGGGGTAGCTGCGAGAGTATCTTAGAGCTCTTCCTTTCATCTCCGAATTTGATTAATTCAGAATCAACTAGGAGTCGAGAGGTCTGCAATCAAGAGGATATAGACTAACAAAAATGATCAAATGTACTATACACATCAGTTACATCAGACCGATTCGAAAAAAGCAATAAGTGGACTTTTCGCACCATCAACATATAAACCAACAAATATTTATCGTTTTATTACGGATATCTTTGTTCTAAAATTTTCAAAAGAAATTCGTAACAATGGTGCAATTTGATTAGTTTTGTGAGTGTATGTCGCGAATCCCTTTGGAATAACCGCAACGTTGAGAGGTCGCGAATTTTAAACAATTCTTGCAAACAGAAGTTACGAAACTTCAAGAGTCGCTCTCAAGTCAAACAACCTCGCGAAAAGTTGAAAGTATATTGTTCCGTACCGAGAAACTCCGCCGTAATGCAAATCTCGTAATGCATTTTCCCGAATCTATTTAATCTAACAGCCATGAAATGTGGCAATCAACGTGTCGTGCACCACGCTAGCCCCGGCACGATCGGAAACTTTTGCCCTCCATTAATTTATCTTGCAGATTGACACGTTTTTGAAGCTCTCCGTTGAAAGGTATCTTGCGCGTCGCGTGTATGTCAGTTTTCGTGGGCAGGGTTAATTCATAAGGGGTCACACACTTTGCGTTGCTTAGGCTCAGTTTCACAAGTTTCGGTTAACTTAGTTTAACCTTAGATTAACTAGATTAACATTCTTCGTCTCTTTCTAAGGGGGACGTTAGAAGGAGACGAAGAGTGAGTTAATCTAAGATTAAAAGTTAACCGACACTTGTGAAACTGGGCCTTATTCGATCGAACGTTCTACGTGAAGGAACTGATAAAATTTTAACGTAACATACTCGTTTGTGATTCTTTCTGAGGTTCTGAAAGGTCATTAGAAATGAATTACGAGGATAGCTAATCGATTGGAAACTCGAAAGGGTGGCCGTTAATAGTACCAGGACGGAGTATATACTGATTCACATAATATAACTGCATAAAGAGACACGCTTGTTCGTGACCATGACTGTAAGATCTCGTCTTCCTGTCTGGCCTTGGCACGCGTCGGCGGTCGATGAGGGCAAGAAAAAAGGCACGGAGATCGTTTTCCTGGCACGATGCCTGTCTCGACTAAATGAAAAGTTCCCTTGCTCGGAACCATTATACTTTCCGACACTTTTCCGTGCATATTTATTGCGTATGAAAATGTTTTCAAACAATAGACTCACGGTCTCGCAATCTCGCGAATTTCTGACAGATTGATCTTGTCCAGCCATTTAACTATCACAATGGATTTGTATCTCACTACAGATATTTAAATTATCAGAAAAAATAAATATAATTAGAATAATATTATTTACTAGAAGAGTAATATTATTTTAACTTGAGAATTTAATTTCGCGATGTATTTTATAATTTTATACGGCCTGTTGATTATGGTTTAAAAAATGGGAGAACAAGAGAACTCGACAAAAGAGCTATTAAGCAAAACAAAGCAGAAGGGTATGGCAAAGAAAGTTTCTCATATGGAAATATAAAGCCGTTTGCCGTGTATGTGAGTTACATCACCTTTTAAATTTCTTTGGTTGCTTAGTGCCGCTCATAAACTGAATTCAACAAGTTTTCATAGCAGCCATCCCGGTGTAATTTAATTCAACATCACAAAATGTATTCCAGAAACGTAGGTACCGAAAGCGATAAAAGTAAAGGAATGAAATGCAAAGTAAATTCATTTCGCGAAACGCACATTTGTTACAGATACAAAAAAATTATATAGATATAAAGATGTGAAATACATAATCAAACAATCGATTTGAGCGAGAAAAATATACTACATAAAAATGTATTTTCAATTTATTTCACATAGACGTTCGATTTATTTTAGCAATAACTGTTATTAAATTGGTTTATCCCCCACGATACCAAATATTTGCGTTGCAACAGCAACGGTTTACCGATCGCTCAGGACGTTCTCCCCGACCCACCTGTATGCTTCTTGCATAGTTGACTTTCGATAAGGGACGCGATGGATTTTCAAGCAACAAGCAATCGACGGTTTTATTTTAAACGACACTGATTGTAAAAGCAATTTGTGCACCGACCGTGTTCCGTAGAATTTTATGTAATAACTTCACGAAATAATAATTTCAGCAAAAATATCGATCACACAAAAAATCAGATCACTTCCCTCAGTCACGCTTAACGAGCGGCTTGATTGACGGAGAACCGAGGATCTTGTCTACATTTGGAGGGATAAAGTCATAGTGGTCTATCAATTTTTTTTTAATGTTTTCTCGCGTGCATAGACGCAATCTATACGATATATAAATTGCATTTATGCACACAAAAAAATATTTTTAAAAATTTGACTTACATCACTGTGGTTTTTTACCCCTCCATTTATATTCCACCTTCAGAAATCATCTTCCATAAGTCATGATCATTTCGAAATGAAATCGAGAGGGGATCAACGGACGCGAGAGAGTTTATGTATCTGCACTTCGAGTTTAGAGGAAGGGGCGCGCGTCGCGTCGGTCATCGACAGCAGGCTCCTACCTGCATGCTCCTGATCGCATGCCAGAAGATCCCGGCACGATCCTCCGAGGCGTCCGTTTACGTGGTCCAGGTTTACGAACGGGTGCTCTCTCGCACGCTCGGTCTCCTCGAGGTTCGAACTGTGACTGGATACTGGATCCGGCCGCGCGCGCGGCAGGACCGTGCGGTGTGCTTCGCCGCGCGGGGATTGCCAGTGGTCCGGCAGTCACGGATACGGGAAGGGGTAAAAAGCCAGGCGGCAGAGGAAGGACGGACGAGGGGGTTGTTTTCGCTGTGTGCCGCTCGGGGGGTTGAGAGTGGACCGACGCTTATCGGGCGCTCGCGAACCGCATCGGCAGGTGGAAAGATCGGACGTATAGCTTGAATTTTAGCCCGAATTGATTTTTTCAGGAGGAGCCTTCCTTTACGCGGGGAGGGGGAGAAAAAAAAAACACAGAAAGCCCATCGTACATTCTACTTGTTGATTATTTTATTTCGCTAAATGTGTAACTCGCGTTGTGTTGTGTAAACTTTATCTTCGAAATGGACTTTCCTCTTGCGCGGTAAAGCTGGAGTGTGATAGACTTCGCACTCCGCGCTCGCTCCGTTTTTTAAAATTATTCACACACACGCACGGACTTTAATTAAATTCTTTAGATTCGAGCTAATTTTCCTATGTAAAGCTCTTTACACTAATATTGCTGCAATTAACTTTTCAATTACCTTAACAATTAAATTAAAGCAAAAAGTAGAATGTTAATTAATTTTAATTAAGCAAGAAAAATAATTACGCTGAGATCAATTATCCTAATGAGTTCAATTGATACGTTTCCATTATCGGAAGCCTAACGATCAAAGATCGTTTTCATATATCGATATCTGAATTCGATAAAAATATAATGAGTTTAGTTTCGTTTTCCATCGGCTAATCAAATCTGTTATCTCTCCCGCAGCAGCCAATTCGATTGATTGTTAATCCACGGTGCGTTCCAATTACATTTTGCTAATTAAACTAATTACGTACTTTTACAACAGATGTGAGATAGGAATACCAATGATCCATTGATTGATGTATTTTAATACATTTATCAAATGGCGATTAAATATTTATTTAGAGATCCCAGTAAGAGAACATAGATACATTTTATATATATATATATAATAGTGATAAATATCAAATTTTGGTCGTACTCTTCACTGATATTGCATAATCTCGTCACGAAATATATTTTACATTTATCACGTGTCTCGGGTTCTAAGAAACGTGCGGATTAAGTCGAACATAGACAAAAGCAGAAAGAAAATTGAAAGATAAAAAGAATAAAATCGGATTTAACAGGGATTTTCGAAGAACGGACGGCAGCATGTCTTTGATCATAAGAATCATAAGGATGCTGTTCTAGGCAAAGACAAAAGTACAAAGCTGTCTAGCTCGTATTTTATATTTTTATAAATTAAGGATAAACAGAAAGAAGCTTTTACCTCTTATTAAATAAGAAGGTAACGTATGTAAAAATATAGATGGAATCAAGTAAACAAATAACAATGAGCGAGTGAAAATGCAAAAGAGTGTTATTGCTGCATCAGGAATGAGACCGACTCAAGGAAACTGTCAAGGTTGACATCTGGAGGACATGACGACATATCGAGAACCGAGAACCTTCGAAATTTGGGACACAAGTTTAAAAATATCTCCTGATCCGGTGCAAACACGAGCGTCAAATCCTGATGATAAACTGAGGGAAAAAAGACAACTGCGCAAAAATCCGTCCTTTTCCTGTTTTAGTCGTTGCTCTTCGAACGTCCTGTCCGTTGCATGACAACGTGGCGAAATTAATATGGAAACGCCGAGAGGCGTCCAGAAATGGAACACGTAGGAGAAGATTTAACGCTCGGTTGTCATACAAATCAAAGTGACCCCAACCAATTTTCAAACAACTGTATGCTGTTCAAAAACTAACAGTTTAAGTGGATCGCAAAAAATTCTAGAATTAAGTTTAAACATTGTAGAATGTATTCTCATTAGAAAAAATTAATTTTTTGAGTGGCATGTTCAAAAAAATCCTTTAAAAAATGTCCAAAAAAAACAATGTGACAAGAGGATTAAAACAGATAATAAAACGCGCTGTAACCGGTGAGGAAAAACGCGTATTTGTGATCGGGATAGATGCAATTTATCATGTCACGGGAAGCCCGAGAGAGCCGATAAAGCGTGCCGGATGAATGTACAGAATAATGCATCTTTACGCTTGCCGAGGTACACTCGAAGGGTAGCACCATTAGTATTGTCGAGGGTGGGAATGGAGAGGTTGATGGTGTATGGGAAGGACGTGATTGTGCTATCTCAAGAAGAGAAAAGAAAAATCGTGAAAGAGAGAGGATTGTGCAGGAGGACAATGCGAATTTTGAGAAGAGAATCTGCGACGAGCCGGGAACGTTCAGCAACAAATGATCGCGAGGAATGGAATTGTCTCGGAAAATGCACCGAGACACGAGGATGCAGGAAGAAACGAAGAAAGAACTAGCGGTGACAAATGAGTGCAAGTGCGCGACAGCGAAATCTTCCGTGCCTTTTAACTGCCCTGTTTACAGTGTTTACCCTTGTATATTGTTGCAATATAAGTGAAAAACTTTCACTCCCAGATTCCTCGAAAGGTCCAGAGAACCCCACGAGGGCGCACTTCGAAGTTTCATCGGCAAGTACGATCGAGTGCAGTTTCGCCGGCGCGCGGTGCCTTCGATTTCCATCGACTTCGATAACCGGATGCATCCCCGAGGTCGCTAGACTATCGCGATGCAGGAGATACCGGGATCGGATGCACCGTTGGTCACAGGTGGAGCGAAATAAATCGAATCAAGAGGGAGGGGGGAACGAGGGAACGATCAAGGTAAGACGAGGACGGGACGCGCGGCCACGTGAGGAAGGGGACGTGGAGCAGGACGCGACGCCGGCGCGGCAGGAACCCCGTAGGTCAAGGTCACCACCACCGGCCAACCGGCAGGGGGTGAGCACTGGCCGTTATGTTACGGCCCTGGGAAGTTCCCGCTTCGTAACGCCGCCGGCGACTAGCGAGGCCTCGGTGTGTGCAGGACGATCTCTTCCGACTCCCCTTCGACCCCCGCTGAAATCGATATACCTACACCTATTTCCCGACAGCTCTCCCGACCCCGACCGGTCCGTGTATGCAGGCAAAACAGGGCCTGCGGATCCTGATGCGCCACGCAATGCGACTGCAACGCAATTTTGCGAGGCACGTGTGCCGCGCGTCATGCGTCGTGACTTACAATGATAATTAATTGACCCGAATTTAACGCCGTTAAACGGAAGGGAACCGTCGCTGTCGCGTCACTCGGCGGTACACGATTTTCGCACATAAACGCAAAAGTGATCGATTTTTTTGGCGGGGAGGGGAGGGTTGTACATCATCTAAATTGCCTTGATATGCGGACGAGTGGCGTAACGCGCATCATATTACGTCAATTGATGTGCCATAAGTCCTCCGAGACCGATTCATATCCGGTAAATTGAGTACCGGAGACGCGCACAGCCCATTTAGTCTCAAGACGGTCCGAAGATCGACAAGGTCTTACGGTCAGGAGGGATAAATATCTCGAGGGTATAGCGCTTGTGAAATTTTGCATCGCTTACCGAGATGTTCTATCGATCATCGGCAGATAAATATGACGCTTTCAGTTGATTGCATACGATTTTTTATTTTATCTCGAAGGTGAGTCGCATCTCGCGAACCTTGTTAATAATTTTATTCACATCGATTATATTATCTTTTAAAAATATATTATTATTTATATCTAAATCTAAGTCCTCTTTCAGGAAAAAATTGCATTCTTTTTTATTATAGAGATTATTTTAGGATTCAGTTTGAATTATTTAACTCTAGCGCGATGAATAGCAAGAAGAGAAATTGCGGCGTTTATGCGGTTTAAAGCGAGAACAGGATCAAGTACGGAGTTTTGCGCTTAGCCGGCACGATTTAGTGAGGCCGTTCGGTCAACTGCACGAGCTAACTACCGCGCATTCTGCAAGGTGTGTGCATGACAAATCCCTCCTATCCCGCGAAACAGAGAGCGCAGACTTCTGAATATTCAGCAGCACGTAATACTACTAAAGGACTTTCTATTTTAAGCGTCTCAATATTGCGGAAAATATAAATAACCTCGCCTTGAAGACGTCCGTTTCGAGGGACGATTTCCCTCTGCAAAATATCAAATTAAACCGGCGTGTGTAAATTAAAAAGTGAGAGGAGATTGATAAAACGAAATGTATACCGTAATGTAATCTCCCGATTTCCTGTTTCGGCAAAACACTAACTAATACATTTCTATTAACCGCGTACCTGGTTTATGTATAGATTGCGTATAAACGTTGCTCGAATTTTCATGTTTTATGCAAGTGCTGACCGCCGATCGATGTAAACGGCCGCGAGGACGACATTACCAAAACCGCGTTGCATTTATTTCACGACATTATTACGAAAATTCCGGCTCGCTGCCGTTCGCGCGCGTTCTGTGAGGAATTGGAAAATTTAATGAAGTCTCGTTGTGGCACGTCACGCACATATCGTGAACTGGCATTTTCATGTTCGCTTTGATTAATTCAGTCTCTAAACTTTGACAGTGCGTCGCGTGCCTGTGTACCATAACACACGTACCGTGTGCGTATGTAGAAACGAGCGACTTCGCGCGAGTCTCGATAAAAGTCGAGCAAAAGTATAGCGAAAATTTATGCGAATTAATACACTGAATGCCAGACTTATTTTGCTCGTTTCTCCGCCTACGCCTGCAGAGTGAAATTTTCACTTTAGAGAGTTTAGAGCTCCGTCTCGATAAAATATTAAACAATATAAGCGAATTGTGCAATATTATTATACGTAATATACGTTATTATTTCAATATTAATCATTTCAATATTTTAAATATTATAAATATTGAAATATAATTTCAATATTATTTACACGATTACAAATGTTATTTTTTACTAGTTTTATGCATTTTTTGAGTTTGAGGTCACCGATGACCGGCGCGATGTCACTGAAAGTTTCATTGCCGATCATTGGTGATCGGCATTCAACGGTATTCAACGTATTAACCATCGCGCAAATAATTTATTTCCAATTATATATAAAATCATTATCGATGATGCTTGGAGAAGAGAGACCTTGATGATCGATTCGCGATGGCAGCAGCTGTTCGACAACGCGGTCGCACCGATGTATGATCACTCACAATCATTCAATTAATATCTTCGCCGATCTTCTATTAATACGATCCATCTCATAAAAGTCATTTATTACTACGACCATTAAGCTGCCTCTTGAATCGAACGCTTTGAGACAAGATATAAATTCGCGGGACGGTGACCGACCAGATCGATCCTCGCTCGATCGTCGGTCGATCGAGGACGTCGCGATCGAGGATCGAGGATCGGCACACAATATGTCAAATCAACGAGAGATGGAGCCCGTAGTGTAGGAACGAGCGATCCTACACGGTGTGCACAAAATATTGGTAGCGGTGATCGGTGACGCTTTGGCCGCGGGCAGAGAAAGCTCACCGCCTCGAAGGCTTCGTCGAAGGCGCCCCGGCTGCTCCTTTTGCCGCCGACACGCCGCGCGTACCATTGCCTCGTCTCTTCTTTCCTTTCACCGCCGTGGCATATGTCACGTCAGGGCCGCATCGATCTGTCCCGAAAGACTCGTCTTTTTCACGATGACAGGGTACACGATAAAGCCCCGAGGAACCGAGGGACCAGCCGTCTCTATCCCGCCCCCAAGAGTCTCGTGGTACGCGACGTTTCGTAAACGTCTCTCGCGATCGGAGAATTTACGTCACCCATCGAATTTAAAATTCGTATAACGTATTGAAATTCCGCCCCTCGAGGAGTTCCGTTGAAGATCCCCGCGCGCGTTAAGTCCTGGGGATTAGATCAGCAGGATCGAAAACTATTTTACTACCCCGAACATGAAATTATATTCCAAATCACTCTATTTGCCGAGGATTAAATTATATACGTTCGCCGCCGCGCTACGTATCTCAATAACGTTTCCTCATTTTTTACGCTCGGTGCTATTACCATTGACATTTCGTTCTATTCTTTTCTTTCTTTTTTTTTTTAAGTTCGCCGATTTAGTCAATCGCATAGATCATCGCAATTCACTTGGGCGGCAAATTAATTTGACAGCCCTGTTCCACGATTTCGTGGCTGATTGCCGTCGATCTCGCAGATTTTTCTCGAGGGCGTGCCGACGCGACGTGTGATGGCTGTATTCGCCGACGATGGATCCAGTCGGTGGATGACCTTATCGATAACTCGAGATCCTCCGAGGTCTCCGAGCCGCTTTCTAAGCGCAGTCCGGCATGGCAGCGTGGAAGGGACGCGGCCGGCGCTATCACGCTCCGTTCGGCGATCGCAATTACGTGAATCATCGCTGCACTCGACCACCGGCTCGAGAAAACGTAACCTGCCACTCGCTCGACGAAGATGGGTGCGAATCCATCCGCGTGCACTTCCTGCTCTCGCAGCGATCGAGCGAGCGAGCGTGACCGGGACCCCGGATCCCGCGGATCCTGATCGAGGAAGTCCATCGCGAGAGGAGGATCTTCCCGTTTCTCTACGAGGGATTTTTCTCGTCTCGCAATGATTTAACGATCCACGTGACTGATCGCGCCGGTCGAACGCGCAATGAAATTTGAGGGAAATGTCTGAAGATAAGAATGCCGTTAAGACGCGTAATTGAACGATAATGATAGCGCGTTTCGATACTTTCGCGCCGCTACTTAGGCAAGCTAAGTGGCATTTTGCACGGTCGCTGGTTTTATATCTGGCAAAGGGCAAATTCCTGGCGCGTGTGGATCCGCGGCGGATCCCGATGGTGACGATGTCTCGATGCACCTGCCTGCGATCAAATCGGAAAGATACGCGCCATTGTAAGATCGGCACGACGAGAGACCGAAGCGCGGAGATCGAGGCGAAGTAAATGTCGTTATCAAACAGCCACTGATCTTAAGACGCAAGTTTTGTATTTATTGCGATATAGCCGTGCGTTAGATCGAGACATACTTTCTAGCGGTTTCGAGCTTCACTGTTCGGTGAACATTGTGTCGACGATTGCACCATGTGGAGAGGCGCGCAATATCCGATTATGCTACTGAAAAATACGAAATACGCCATAAAGTCGAGAGACGCTTCATTTTTTTTAACGCGCAAACGTGCTACAAAAGTCATGACCAGAATTTTTAATCCGAACAAAGGTCGTTCAAGATAAGCCTAAAAATAATTAAAATAATAAAGTTGTGCTAATAAAATAAAAGAGGTTGTTAAACGCCGTTGACGCCGTGACACGTGCTCGCGAATCACGTTCGTCGCGTGTACAATCGCGCATTGCCGCGCCGTGGAATTCGCAGTCGACAAAGGGCGCATTCTCGGCGTACGGGTCCACAATGCTTTCCTCACCGAGTTATCGGCTCGTGACGAAAAGCGAGGTCCGCGCCGGAATCTGCGGAGAGATTCGCGAGCACCGCTTGGCATTTATCCCGGCCGAGAGTCACAGACGATGGTGAAATAAGCGCGTTCGCGCGGGCCCGTCCAAAATGCCAAACGAGCCCTTGCCCTCCTCCTCCCCCCTCCCTCCCACCCAGTCCTTTTCTCTCTTTCTCCCGCTTTGACATTTGAAAAAGAAGATCTGCCCGGACGACGACGCCCGCGGGTGATTATGGCACCGCGCGCGCGGAATTGCGTCGAGAAGCGGCGCCGCCGCGGCCGCTTTCGAGAGATGATTGTGCGATATTGTGATATTTCGATCTATCGGTCTATCATTAACTGCCGCGCGAAGCAACCAACACCCGGTCCATTAAATGAGACTACATTGACGATCGTTTCACTTTCGACCGCAGATCCACGACGGCAATGATGATGATAGATCGGGTGCGGTGCAACGCGACGCGATGTGGTATTCCATTCGTGTAAAATAATATTGCAAGAAAATCGCAACGGCACGGCGGCGCGGCATAAGGAGCGAACGAACGAATGTTTATTCGCTTCATTTCTCGGCGTTATGTAAAAATCTTAGGTCATCGTAGAAAGCTGCCGCGCGCGATGCAGGCAAATTTTCGCGATTTGTCGATCGATATAAACAAATATTACGTAAAAACGCTCGGACGTTAGTGATAACGTTAAATGGTATCGTTCGCGCGACTTTCCAGCAATTACGCTTAACTCGGGAACGCCCTATTTTCTACTCGGCGTTCGTACCCGATGCACGTAGTCAGATTCGCGTGTTCGCTGGCCGTGTTCTACGACATTGCCGGAAGCGCGGATAAAATGTGCGAAAGCTCGACGTTGCAAGCCTGATGGTTACGGAATTCGTGGGATAATTCGAATCGCTGGAATCGTTGCAACATTTCATTTCGCTACGACAATAGAGAGTATTTTTAACGGGCGTATCTGAGGATACGCTTCTCCATCGGGGAAATGACTGGCTGCGGTTTTAAAGTCGATAAACCGAGAGGCGTTTAAGGAGCGTTAATTGAATCCACGATGTGCGAGAGGCAAATATCGTCGTCATTTCTCCGATGGCGTCTCAACGGCGACGCTACCTCCGCAATCCCGACATTCCAATCGCATCCTCGAAATGCTTCGTCCTCGAAGATGTACTTTGATTTTACTCGCCGAAATACTGAGCGATCTGAAGGCAATTTTATTCGTTATTCTATTGGCCTTGACAAACTTACATCATCTCTCGCTACTTCTCATCGCTTTCTCGTTTTGTTAACTTGTAAACTTTTCTAAAATGCCAGCGATGACTGTATGTCCTTGTTTAGGTAAAAAAAATCACGAAAATATTCTCGTCTCGTTCGAAAATAACCAAACCAGAGCTCTAGTTCTCAACGTTGCAATGTTTATTTTTGACTTACTTTCGATTTGCCAATTTTATTAATTTTACAGTGTTTTAAAATGTGCTAGATTCACCAATAGCCGTGTGGCTGTAAGAAGTTGTCGCTTCGTTTGTGTAATCGATCTAAGGAAGTGCTATGAATAATAAAATATTTACTAATCATTAACATGCCTTCTTTTAAGTAATCCAACAGCCTACCCCTTACGGAAAAATATAAGCAGATACATTCTCTAATGTTATAAAGAAATATAAATTAGACATATATAACGATCGATTTATCATTTTTATATCACTCACCATAAATTTTCGCGTCGCTGAACTTGATTTATATACTTATAATTAACAGCGATGGAGATAAAATCGACGAGAGTAGCGAAATATTTACCGCATTGCACAAGAATTTTATGTGAGAACGCATAAAGCACTTAGAGCCGAGAGATAAGCTGACGCAGATACTTCTCTTTATGTTCCTAGGTCGAGGTCGTATGCTTGGAACCTACCACCAACACTAGATAAATCGTTGTACCTTGTACTTTCATATCGCCGGGAAATTATTGACCAATTACTCTTCCCTTCCTCCGAGCAAACATGTAATTTATTAATGAAAGTCATAGATCAAAATATCTTCAAGGAGATATTTAGATTCATAGCTTCGTAGGATTGAATCTGCATCCAACACGATAGCAAAAACTTATACCGTCGCTGCTAAAAGTTGGCATTCTCGTGACATATTTAATTATTTTCAAAAATTATCACGTTATTTGAATATTATATCGATCATGATGTTGCTTCCAAGGTAAAAAACATATCAACGTTGAATGTCAAAGATTGTGGTCGTCGAGTCAGCAATTGTTCGGCACCTGGAAGGATGTAGCTCTCGTTGCTTCCAGATCCCACGTCCAGCCGAGTCTGCATCCGTCGCGGTGATATATATCACGTTCACGGGGTGTCTCGGAAAACAAGGTGTCTCGGTGGTTTCGATACGTATACGTTCCTGGATCAGCCAGAGGTACGATCTACGCGGGCGGCAATGCTCAAAGATGAGAAAGAGGGGACCCGATCGCGCAGCGTCGTGGTGGTGGCAATATAAGGCCCGGCCAGTGGCGGGCCTCAGCCAGTCCGTGAGCGGTACCTACACCTTCAAGGTCCGCGTCCTTGAAGACATTACTCGCCCTCGCCCGATCCGTGTGCCGTTATCCGTAGAGAATCGCCGTTGAGAGCGTCTCGCGGCCGAGGTCTAGCCTGGATTTTCTTCGTAAAAATCGGAGTCCTTCAGCACTTAACCCCCTCCCGCGCCCTACCCCGCCCCGGAAGTGGTGAACGGGTACGCCGCTACGTCGCCACCCCACCCCGATCGGTTACCCTTTCATCCCTTCCTGAACGGTAGCGTTTCGAACGTCAGTTGAACGGGAGTGATTGAGGGGTAAAGAGTTGGGTGGTATCCTTGGAAGCAGCTCGTGGCAAGACGACGACGACGACGACGACGTGGTCGAGAAGAGGAAGTTTCATTCCCCGCCGAGGGTCAGGACGAGTATGAGGTCCTCGCTGGTGCTGCTCCTGGTAGCAGCTTTCGTCCTTGCCGGTGAGTAACAGATTTCTCTGTCCAGCTCTCTCGCTGCCGCCGATATCGTTCTACATCGACCGGTCTATGCGGCTTATCGCGGTCGTATTCTCGCGGGCCAGCATATGAGAGTTCTCCGTGCGTTACTGAACACAATGTATGTAGAAGACGAGTTTCAGGAAGATTTGAGAACCGCGCGATCTGAGCCAAATTCTTCCGCCAGTTAAATTATTAAGTTCATTATTTTTCATATTACATTTAGCATTCGTCTTCTTTAAAAATTTTACAAAATTTACTAAGAATCGCGATTCGATTCTGCCGGAAATGATTCGCGGTACCGTAGGCGGTGTTGAACGTACGTTCTCCAAAGCGCCGATAAGAATCTCGAATAATTAAAAAATCGTACATTAATTAAATTATGAAAGATACGTGCGCATGTATCTTTTAAGGAAAGATCAAGAATAAATATCTAAAAAAATGCTAATCAATTGCAAAGATTAATATACGAGGCATGATGAAATGAGAAGTATCTCGGGTATCGCACAGGTGGACACGTGAGCTCACGCAGAGCCATTCAAGATGGCGAAAGTGCCACTGCAATCTGGCGCTTGACATTTCCTTAGTCTATTCTTGTATTTTCCACCCTGGGGCACCATAGCTGGTTTTCCTTCTTTTTCACATCGCAGACAAGCAATGCTCGTGGCGGCAGGAGTAATAATTTAATATAACCGAACCGATCATCGGGACGACAGATTGCATAAGAGATTAGAGCGTGAAAGCTTCTCGATCCGGTCGGTCCCGGATGAGTGACGTCACTGCCGTGCCCCGAGCCTCTGAAAATGGTGCGGGTGGGGGCACAACTTTCCCTGTTTATCGCTCCGCTACGAAGTGGTCTCGCGAGCCCGGGGGACCAACGGGACCGAAGTACTAACTGCCAGACTATTTTCTCAGATGTTGAACAAATTCTGAATAATGTCTCTAAAGAGTTGTTGTGATTCAAATATTATTTGAATAAATAATAATATTCTCAAGTTTGTAAGATCGCTAGACAAATCTTGTCTTTCTTCATGTTTGCTTTTTGTATAAAATGCACGGAAGAATTAGATTCTTTAATGAGCTGATAGATATAATATCTTATATTTAATAAAATAATTTTAAGTATTATTAATTATTTATACGTAGTTCTTTTACTATAATATAATTGTAACAAGTGACTATAAGTACTAAAAGTATTTACTATAATCTGCCTTTTTTTAGTAATTTTGCCTTTTTTAGCAAATTCATGCTATTGTATTAACGAATGTTTTTTGTATCCAAAATGTTACTGAATTGTATACATATAATTAATACTAGACAAGATAAAGTGCTTATCACATCGCAAACCACATCTCTTTCTTTCAGAGGGTACGAGCCGAGTTAAGCGGCAGGAGGAGAAAAAGGAAGAGAGTTTCGAGAGCGAGATTTGCAAGGACAAGGATGCAGGCGAGTGGTTCAGATTGGTCGCGGGGGAGGGTGATAACTGCCGCGACGTTATCCAATGCACGAGTTCCGGTCTGCAGGCGATAAGATGCCCAGCCGGTTTGTATTTCGACATCGATAAGCAGACCTGCGACTGGAAGGAATCCGTCAACAACTGTAAGCTGAAGAACAAAGAGAGGAAGGCCAAGCCCTTGCTTTACACCGAAGAACCGCTCTGCCAAGACGGCTATCTCGCGTGCGGTGACGGATCCTGTATCGAGAGGGGTCTCTTCTGTAACGGAGAGAAAGACTGCACCGATGGCTCCGATGAGAATATCTGCGGTAAGTTAACAGTCGGACAAAATTAGCGGCGCTTTTCAGCGAGCGAAACTCCGATTACAAAGTTACTTAAAAAAAAAAAAGAAACATTATAACTCAGAAGACAACATTAATTTATTATAACTAATTAAAACGATTGCGATCTTCTCGACATTCCAGACATGGACAATGATCCCAATAGAGCTCCACCATGCGACCCCGCCGTGTGTACCCTACCCGATTGCTTCTGCTCGGAGGACGGTACCACGATACCCGGCGACCTCCCGTCCAAGGATGTGCCCCAGATGGTCACGATCACCTTCGACGACGCCATCAACAACAACAACATCGGCCTCTACAAAGAGATCTTCAACGGCAAGCGCAAGAATCCAAACGGCTGTGATATCAAGGCAACCTTCTTCGTGTCGCACAAGTACACCAACTATTCCGCGGTCCAGGAAATGCACAGGAAAGGCCACGAGATCGCCGTCCATTCAATCTCGTAAGAATCGACTCCTCCTAATAACACTGTCATTTCTCTCATTTACATGTCATTTAGAAAATTATGCCCCCCGACTTGATACTCGTCGCAAAGTTGCCACGGAGAGACCCGTTCGTGCGCAAGGTTCCCAGGACAGCAGGTTCATGAGTTCAGTAAATTGGAGGACAGGTTCACGAGTACTCCTGTTTCTACGAATATGTCATGTCATGTCCCTCATGACCATAGTCATAATTGTTAAAAATCAGAACACGGTCACTACATAAATTCTTACATGACAACTTTGGGGTAAGGCACAACGACGACGAGCGCTTCTGGTCGGACGCGACCGTCGACGACTGGGCCAAGGAGATGGCCGGTATGAGGATTATCGCCGAGAAGTACGCGAATCTGACGGATAACAGCGTGGTCGGCGTCAGGGCGCCGTATCTACGGGTCGGCGGTAATAATCAGTTTACCATGATGGAGGAGCAGGCCTTTCTGTACGATTCCACCATCACCGCTGCCTTGAACAACCCTCCGCTGTGGCCGTACACCATGTACTTCAGGATGCCGCATCGCTGTCACGGAAATCTTCAGCATTGTCCCACTAGGTAAGTATCAATCTCATAATCATAAAGAGTTCTTGGACCACGCAACGACAATTGTTCTAAATACGGTCAAATAAATGTTCGCAGATCGCACGCCGTGTGGGAGATGGTGATGAACGAGCTGGATCGGCGCGAGGATCCACAGAACGACGAGTATCTGCCCGGCTGCGCCATGGTGGACTCGTGCAGCAACATCTTGACCGGCGATCAGTTCTACAACTTCCTTAACCACAATTTCGATCGCCACTACGAGCAGAATCGCGCGCCCCTCGGCCTCTACTTCCACGCCGCCTGGCTGAAGAACAATCCCGAGTTCCTGGACGCTTTCCTATACTGGATCGACGAGATCCTGCAGAGCCGCAATGACGTATACTTCGTAACGATGACTCAGGTGATCCAATGGATCCAGAACCCGCGCACCGTCACGGAATCGAAGAACTTCGAGCCCTGGCGAGAGAAGTGCACGGTGGATGGAATTCCGGCGTGCTGGGTGCCCCACACCTGCAAACTGACCTCGAAGGAGGTGCCCGGCGAGACTATAAACCTTCAAACTTGCGTGCGCTGTCCCAACAACTATCCTTGGATAAATGACCCGACCGGTGACGGCTTCTTCTAAACTGCCCAAGCGCGAATTTCCTTCTCGTCTAAGTCAAATTCCTCCTTTTCCTTTCTCCTCAATCCTGCCGATCCTTTCCTCCCCGTATCTCAACCTGACGTCGGTCGAAAGGTGCGTCGCGAGTCCTTGCGCGGTTCAACTTAACGAAAATCGCCGGAGATCGCCGACCAACGCGTCAGCCAAGTATCCTCGAGATTTTCGAGAGCAACGACGATTATTACGGCGACGAAATACACGGAAGAAACGAGGAGAAAGAAAATCATCGTCAGTCCGTTAGACTCCGGTGACCGCTCTTAGTTGCCGATATTTTTTGCTGTTTTTATCATTGAGAACGACGTATCTGTGATGATTAGTTCTGTTCAGTTGGAATAATACGGAGTCTAATGGACTGAAGATGAATGGAGTAAAAATGAAGCTCTCTTCGCTTCGCATTCACAGATGTCCCTTCAGCAATAATGTTCAGCTTCGTTACACTAGAAATTCGTTACTCTACGCTATAAAATATAAATCGCTGTATTTTTCTTTTGCGCGCGTGCCTCGTTATCAGCTGGTGATTAAAATTAACGTTCATCATGCGCCAGCAATCTGTGATAGATTTGATAGAAAGCGACGTCCTCGAAATCCTCGAGGTGGCAACGTTGACCGATCGTGACGACGACGACGACGATAACGATGACGATGACGAGAGCCACGCGCATACCAATCGAAACCAGGCAGAAGCAAAAGCAAAATGTCGCGCCCCACCCGCGATCCCACGAGGAGAAATCGCGGATCCTTCGATGGCGGCGATCCGCGAGTGGGATATTCCACGTGTAATATAACCGTGTCCCCCTTCGCTCTATCGCATCTCCGATTTCCTCGACGAAAGCCACGACCGATATCGATCTATCGGCGAGTACGCGCTTTCTTCCCGTCGAACTTCCCCTTCCGCCCTGCAGAAATAATTCACGAAGACCGCCAAATCGATTGTTCCCCGATTCGAGGTTTGCCCTTATTTTTTTAAGGGCCTGCCGATTTATATAAATATATAAATATATATATATATATATAAATTTATAAATATATATGTATATATATTATATATATATAAAATATTGTATGTATATTTGTAAAACTAAGTGATATTACCAACGTAGTGTTTTCGATGAACCTTTGAATAAAAGATTCTGAGAAATTACACACAAAAAAAGATCTGTTACATTTCTTTTTCCTCCCTCGATCGCCGCGCGTTATTTATTACGATCATTCGGGTAATGGATTGGAAAGTGGGGCATGCTTAGGTCCCGCAAACTTGACCGCCATTCTGGCGGAAGAAAGGAGGGAGTTTATTTTTTCTAAGACAGCGAACGCGAAAGCACAGGTGTGGACAGAGATTCATCCGTTCATTATATTTCTCGTTAATTCATCGTTAGTATAGAACCGCGAGATTTTAAAGCGTACCTGTTCCGAGTTAATAGAAATTAATGTGCCTCATTAAAATCACGCGATACATGTGCGAGCGCCGCAGGGAAATCCCATTTGTGAATCGTGAATAAAAAATGCCTCACTCGTAAGGACGCGTCCTACACATCCTTTTCTCGGCCAACCAGCATCCAGCGAAGGATCAACCACAAGTCTTATGGCCGGTGCGATCGCGTGCACGCGCACGTACGTGCACCATCGCGAGAGCATATTCCAATTTTATACGCCACGGACCGAGGAGCTCATTCCGGTTTCGTAATTGCTCTGAAAATCTCGCTCGCGTGTCTCGACTGTCGCGGCCTTGATCTGAATTCGATTCATTGTGCAGGGCATCGATGACGCGACGAATTAAGAACGACCTGATCCTCCCACGATCCTCGAGAAAACTGAAAGCGAGAGTCCAAGAAAGCGCTCCGAATTTCGAGAGTGATAATGCCAATAGGGCATTAAGGGTTCGATTATTGAAAAGTCCTCGATTTGCTAATTTATTCTCGTTTAATTTGATGTATTACCAAATTCTAACAAACATAGCACATAATATGTGCTACGGATGTTCATTATTATACTTAGGTATGTATCTTTATTATATCCATAATTTAAAAAAATTTGACTAATTACAGCGAAGTAGATGAGAGTTTGGAGTTTTTTCGACAATAATTAGAGGCACGGCGAAAATAATTATACATCCCCGGGGATGTATAATTATTTATAACGTTGTACGCGAGCTTCCACGCAAAACTCGAATTAAATCGCGAAAAAGTGAAGCGAGGAGCGTGTCGCGCGCGCATTATAATAATTCATCGTTCGAGATGAAGCACAATTACGGTGACTTGCTCACTATCTTGGTTTACAAAGTCTGCCTTGTTAATTAAGGCAGATTAACGGCATTGCGCTGTCGTTATATGGAAGACATCGCAAGCGTGCAAACGTTAGCATTTTGTAATACGTCGCTTCGCATTCTGCCGTCCCACCGTTTATTCCCAACCTACGGATCGACGGAATCGAGGAAAAAGAAAGGACGAACGTGAGAATGGGAGAAAAATAATGGTAATCTCGTGAAATACCAACCGGCCGCCGACGGTTGCATTCCGATGCAGCCTCTCTGTCGTCGGCCGTTTAAGCGTCGTTTCGAGACGAGCTTAATCAACGTCAGGGAGGATTTTGCCGCTGATGGAACTTTTATTCCGCGAGCAACAGGTTCCTCAATCGCGATCGAGCGATCATAAATGAAAGATTGCGCACGAAATCGGTCGCATATCGCGCTAGCTCAGTTTTTGATTGGAGAGATCGGAGTGTACCAAATATTTATATACATTTCTGCAAAATACATTGTGTAAGAAGAATACTACAGCAACCGTAAACGTGGCCGCATTATTCTTCTACGTTATTCAAATGCCTACTAGCATAATCGGCGTACATTTACACTTTTACTAGCGGCACCGTCTTTGTTGGATAATTTTTTGCGTCACGCGAATGAGAGGTGCACCCACGATCAAATTCCATTTATCCGCGGAAAGCATGCTAATAGGTTTCGCAACAACAAAGACGGTATTCTTAAAGGTAGCATGTCTCGTAAAACTCTTAGCTTCTCTGTGCTGGATTTCTCTGCTCAGAAATCGGTAGAAACAATCGCCTTCAGAAAATTCTTATGCAATAACGGAGCTATTAAAATGTAGTTACATATATAAATAGCAATTATTTCAAATAATCAATATTGTTTTAAAGGAGCACATTACGGTAATCTCGATTAGGGAGATATTACCATTTAATTTTCTAGAACCAACTGTCCATCTCGATCGCAGCCAAAAATTTTTTCTCTGCATAAATTAATCATCTCGCTAATTGCTCTGAAAATATTAAATGCAATTTAATGGACCGATTCACGAGGACAGCTTAAAGCGAGACGTGGGAAGGCGGCGTTGATCCTTTGCACAGTACCGGATAGGACGAATTTTCTCCTCTTCTTTAATGGAATGCAATGTTTTTCAGTGTCGGAACACTCGCAAACGGCGCTAAACGGCGCAACCTGAAAATCTCGCATAAGCGAAAGTAGAGAAAGCTGTGTATCTCGCGGAGCCATGGCAAGGCCGTTACTGTTTAAAGACGAAACACGCCTAACGGAGCCGTCCAGATGCCAACAATCACGTGCGCGCGGCTTCCAGATGCGCCACCGGGTATTTAATTATTTCGTGTTCGCGCACCGGATCGATTATCTTCGGCGGATGCGATTAAACTTTCATGGGCTCGAGCGAGGACTGTCATTAAGTCCCAAGTTCATCGCGCTGATTGTTAGTTTTAAAATGACATTATTGCTTCAGTTCGATATGTACATATCTGCGCGTGATTGCACAAAAATGCTTGATTGCTCCAAAACGCTAAACTTTTTTTTTGCGTGATATTACATGACTCAATTAGATGTATTAGTCTTTTAATGCACATTAAAATAAATTTTATTTATCATGTCACATGTTCCAATGCTGCTAAAAGTTATGAATATTTTCACGTCTTGTGGATTATTAAGCTCCGAATTACAAATATACCAGGAGAAAGAATTTGGAGAAAATTGAAAAAAGTCTACATGTCGGTAAACGTAGCCCAATGCAATTGGGAAGTTCGCTCTATGCAAAGTCGTGTACGTTGCATTATTAATAGTAATTCGTTCCGGCGAAGGGAACAAAGATAGGGAATGCAATTTCGGAAACTGGAAGGCAGCGCACCGCTGCTTCGCGCGCTTCCGGTGTACCAGCGTATAACTGGGACCCGAGCTAAAACAAAGAGCGAGCCGGGCCGTTAAGCCGCTTGCAAGTGCAAGAATCCCGATAATAGAATATTTAATAACTTCTGCTCTCCCGGTCGGCGGGCCCGGCCGGCTGGCGCGCCTTGATAGCCGAGCCGAACGAAGAAACGGTGTGGGTCGGTGAAATTGATTTCTACTAGGTCAGTAGGTGACGGAAGGCGAGTGACGCGACCAGATATTCGTCTGTCTGTTTGTCGCGGCTTGTTTTCAGGCGTATGCAGATAAACATCGGTGCCGGCCTATCTCCGCGCCGTTAATTGAAATTCTCCTATCCCGACGAGATCGGAAGCGAGGCCGGAGATTTTCTCGCAATACTTAATTTCACCCAGCCGATGATATCGCGACGGATGATTTAAAAATAAAATCCACTTGGCGAAAACAACAGATATTTTTGTCAACAGAGATATGAGTTTCTCGAAATAAAACCTGATAAGTTTGAGAAGTGTGCTTAGAGTAAAGTACATAATTGCGTATTTTATTTTTATATTAGTATGAGATTAATATTCAAAAGAATTATATAAAAAGAAGTTTTAAGTCAATTGTGACATATACGAATAAAACATAATATAATGATTTTTTTTAAACTCCATATAAATTGCTATATAAAAAATACTGTAAATAATTAAATAATTTTAAATAGATAAAGCGTAGGATAATATACTATTACTGTTGCAAAATTGCTACTAAATTAAAGAAGCTGCATTATCATGATAAAAAAAAAAAACGTTTCCTTCGAGCCGGATTTGAACCAGCGACCTATGGATTTCTTCTGAATGGAGCTCTAAACCTCTACAGTCCACCGCTCTACCAACTGAGCTATCGAAGGCTTATGATGAAGACAACTTAAATAAGCCAGATCTTGTCGGAGATGTTGTCTATAGCTATCAAAATGAAATATTAATACATTACGTCTTATATACTTAAATTATAAACAATATAATGTAAAATAAAATATTCTTCAAGTCGAATCTAAGTTAATGAAATATGAATATTTTAGAAAAATAATCAATTACAGTCTACCGCGTTCTATGAAGCTATTAAAGATATAGAAGATACATGTATCTGCCTGTAAAAGAATGAATAACAATCTGTTCCGCTCTCATCAACGTTGCATAGGATATTAAATATACTTTTAAAAGGAAATTCATGGAAGAAAAATAGTGAAAACATTTCTCCGAGTCGGATTAAAACCATTGAATGACTATATTTAAATATAAGCAATTACAATCCACATTCTGCTGAGAGTATAAGAGATAATACGTATATACAGAACATTTCAGAAATAGGTAGTCAAACTTTATGAATATATTTTACTCACTGTAAAGATGAAAAAAATCATGTGAATTGCATGGGACTTAAAAATACGTTCTTTCTGAGTATGTTCGTATGACTTTTTTCATACTTATTATGTGTAAAATATGCTACTAAAGTTTGGCCATTTGTTTATAAAATATCCCATATTAGCTCCATAAAGAAGACTGTGATATCAAATCTATATCTTGAAAAATAAAAATAAAATAAAATAGAATTGATAAACAAATTGATATATCTCAAACAATTTTTCAAACGTGGGTAATCTATGAATATATTACGTTTAGAAAAAATATTCTATTAGAAAATACAATTTTTATATGAAATAATTCTCATATATGATTAAAATGCAGATAATAAAAAACAATTAAAGAGAAAATAAAAATAAAAATCAAGAAGCAAAATATGTTTCCAGCAAAAATTAAATAATTTTCCTTAAATGGATAATCCAATTAGATTAAATTTAACAAATGAATTTAACAAGTATTTGAAACTCGACTT